ATTATACAAGATTCTGTTTAATAGGGTGGCTCATTTCACCACTTTTTGGCGTGTTAATGAATTTGTAGGACAATGACAGGTCTACATCTACACTCATCACAATCTACACATCATATAAATGTGATATGTGAAATGAGAAAAGAGAAAAGAGGGATTCCATTTCAAATTTGACGCGTACAGAGCAATTTTTTAGGGGTAAATTTAGAAGATGCCAATGCAGTCGGTCTGTTGAGCACGAAAGTAAAAATATGTTTTCATTTAAACGAGCCCAAACTGTTATTTGGCCCACTAATCGTGCACCCATCGCCAATGCAGTCAAATTCGGGATTTTGATCGTAAAATCGTAGGATTTTAGGATTTTACTTAGGGATTCCGATCTTGATTTTACTACAAAATCGGTGAACCTTAAAATCGTTTAAAATCGGGACTAAAATCGTTAAAATCGTAAAATATTACCGAAATCGGGATTTTGATCGTAAGAGAACAAAATAGGTGGTTTGAGCCAATTTAAAATAAGTATAACTGTTTCAGCGGAAAGGGAAATGGAATCTTCTCGGATATTTTTCTATTAGAAAAATATTCAAAAATAATAAAAATAACCAAATTAGGGTTCGGTTAATCTCTTCCCCTTCACCCCATTTAACTTATTGGTAAAACACCTGTCCTAATATTGGAAGTATGTAAGAACTAACATCATTATTAACTAATTAATTTATTAATGAATATATTTGTACCAAGCCACTAACATTACGTATTTTATTGGAGTTCAATTATTTTTAGTTTTAAATCATACTTAGTAGACGATGTCGAAATATTACTTTGAGTTAAACAACCTAGACATAACATGAAAATAAGAGCCAAACCCATGAACTATATCCCTTCATCATGAATTATTTTGAGTTACACATTAAATAACAATTAAAATAGTGATTTTGGAACATTAATCTTGAGAATTATCTTATGGAAAAAAATCTTCTGAATTATCATTTTAAATGCTTTGTGTCTTTGTCATATTAATAATTTACCTTATTAATATTCTTATATGCTATGTTCTATATGGTACTTAAAATCCTACGATTTTACGATTCGATTATACGATTTTGATTTTACCCCAGTTTTCGATTTTAGGTAAAATCTCGATTTTAACTGCTTTGCCCATCGCAGCCTCTCCAAATCTTCCTATTCTACTCGCCGGGTCATCTCCTCCACTACAAAATATCTCCTCATGTACTCAAAATTCTCACTGAAACCTAATATCTACAACTTAGGCGCTGAGGGAGCAACCGATGGATTGTAGCGACCCCCACTATTTTGATAGCTAATCAAGAAGAGCGTGTTTGTTTAGTTGTATGGTGATTCACTTAATTAACAATTTTTATTCCGTTGACAGCCTCCTCTCCGGAATTGTATTGTGTTCACGAAGAACTGAAGGCGCAAGTGCAACAGGTCCAGGGGTAAACAATATGTATAAAGCGTTGGCCAAATTGAATTGAGTCATTCTACTTGGAATATGAAGATTTTTGCTTAATTGCTTTGGTTCGTGATGCAACTATGTTATGTTTGAAGGTAGACCAACGCAAACAACAGCACAGCTCCATGGCTATTCTGCACATTAGGTAGTTAGGGCATTAATTGATAATTATTTGGGATTATTCCTACAAGTACATAATTTGGAACGTGCCTTTATATTGTATTGATTAATAGTTGTTTGAGATTTTTCAAATGAGTGATTTGACATGTTAAACTCTCTTATTTTTGAAATGGAGTCTTCGAAGTGGAATATGAAGATTTTGGATTAAGCTTGGTTTCGTAACGCCCTTATGGGTGTTTATTCTCTAAAATGCAGCTGTCTTTCAAAGTGCCCGTTGCAAATGGCAAGTCAGGATACAACGATGGTACCGGTACACGTTTATATCATTAGTAGGTAGCAGATTGTGTCCATTCTACTATATCATTTAGCTAAATACTTAGTTGTTCTTTTAAACTAAAAATTATGCTTAAATGCTGTGATTGGCCTCAGAAATGTATGTCTTTGCATTAACTGTTAATAATTGTGAGTTTTGGTTTAATGGTGAAAAGTCCATTTATTTAGAAGTCTAAATTGGGCAAACCTATTGGACAATAGGAATGTCATACATTAGTGTCGTGGGAGGTTTGTTTGATGTCTCAGGGTGTTAGATTTTTAAGAAGGTTGTTTGTTGTGGCAGAGAGTCCCTAAAGCTAGCGAGGTATTCCTATGTGGGCTTTTTCTTTGTTTGACTTTTTCTCGCCTTTTTTCTTATCTCTTTTTCTATTTTTGGTTTTTGTGTGCTACCTTCAGTTGCTACGTCTTCATTTGTGAGCCATCTATACTTTTCTTATTCAGTGCCTAAAAATCATATATACTCGATTGCATAGTAGTTACTAATAGATACATTTATACCAATAGAGAGATTTTAAGTTTTATCAGTTGTTAGTTTTAATATTTACTTACATTGGTTGTTTATGTAGTTTTCTTTGTAATATTTCTCATTATACAACTAATTACAATGGCTACGTAGTTGTATAAGTGGGGGTTGGACATGATAGTTCTTAGAAGCATCAATACTTGAAGGTTATTATAATGACCAAATTCTAAAGTTATGGTTTGCCTTCAACTTGCTTGGAGCATTTCAATTATGCATCAATTGTTCTCTCCGTGTAGTTAACTCTCAGACAAATCGAAAATCTTGCTCATATGTGCTTGATTGTAGTTAAATTTAGGGTTCTACTGCATTGTTGCTTTACTCTTTTTTCGTGGTTGAGTCTGCTTCAAAAAACTTAGTTTGATTTTAGAAAATTTTGCTTCTGCAGTCTTGTCTTGCCACCAACGCGTTCAATAGATGGAGACGGGAGAGGCGAAGGCTATTTTTGTGTTGTTGTTGCTGGTTTAGGGATCGGTTTGTGAAGAAGAGGGAGAAGAGAGGGGGAAAGGGAAATGCAGGAGAGGGGGATAACTCTTTTCTCCGACAAAAATGGAGTGAAGAAAGGAATTATGATCAGTAAGAATATGGTTATCTTACATAACGGTCCCTATTCTGTTTGAATTGAGATTGAGAGGCAGTGATAAGGACGAGCTGCAACCAATTCATAGTGAGAAGAGAGCTATGAACTGTGATCATGTCTTATTTCAAGTTAGAAGGTAGTTTCAGTATAAGGATTATTTAATTTGACAAGTTGTTTCGTCCATGATTCTTGGTAGTTTCAGTGCCATTCTAGCCAATGTTTAGTCTGTAATTTTTGAGAATTGATGTGCGAGTAATGACTTTCACTTAGCTTCAACTATTATGTGTGTATTTATTGGCATGTGATAGAATTCTCTTTTCCTTTTCATTGAATTCATTTTCATACTCTAATTGTATTATTTGTACATAGGCAAATCATGCTCGAGATGGCAACTCGCTGATATGGCTGGTGCAAGGAATGAAGCCATCATTAGAATTCAGACCGACAACGGGGAGGGATGCCCAGGACTAATTCAATGATGATTGATGATGGAATAATAAAAACTGCAGTCTGCATCAGCACCAATTTCTAGGCCTAAGTAAAGGTATTCAACCCAGAACTCTGCTTAGCGCTAAAAATTGCCCTCACCCAACCTTGATCCTGTTTGATCCACTTCTGAAGAGTCAAGATATATGACTAATCCTCCCCGTTCGTATTTTCTTATTGACTCTTTCTGACCCTGTAGGTTGGGGCGGGTCGGGAAGAATTGGATTAGTGGGTCGGTCCTAATCAAGTGGAATCCCAATCCCTTCACTCTCACTTGCTTTCTCTCCCATTCCACAAGTGGGTAACATACAGTAATCCGGCCAACGGGCCGGGTAATAAGCTAGTTACACTAGTATATATATAGCTGTTGTTTTCCCTGGATATCTATATATCTGGCGCCATAGAATGTGACAAAACGGTCTTTACCATCTGTATTTTTACTTTTTAGTACTTTAACATTATACGACGTATGTACACGTATATCTTAGTTGAATTTTAACTATTCTTACTTAGAATCGAAAAAATGCAAGTCTAGAAAGAAACTAGAGCAGCGAGGAAAACTTCAAGATGATTAGATAACACTAAGGAAGTCAATTTTGGAAAGAAAAATATTGATTCATCGAAAACAAATTATATTATTTGGCCCATAAAAAAAAGTAAATTACATTAATTGACATGATTAGTATATATACGTTTGCAACAGTTTTGGCAAAAGCTTTCAAGGCCGACGTCCAGTCCTCCAATTGTCCCAACTTAAACGGCATTCCCAAATCATTAATTTGATCCAGTTAGTTTATACTAATTTGATTAGGTAGGCCATGCAGTCAACAGAACACCTCCAACATATTCAGCCAAATCAAATGTTGCATATAGTATTGACAGTTTGGGTGTTATTGAAAAAGATATAAAATTGTTTAAATTTTGATTAATAAAAGGTTATCACATCATCTTTTGATAGAATCACAAATTTACGTAGTAAATTCGGATGTTACGAGATCTAAACATGTCGACGTCGTTGAATTGAAAGTATATTGCGATAATTTCATTAAAGCAAGCATTGTGTATGCATCTTTAGCGAGACAGTGAGCTCGAAAGTGTGAACAGGTGCTTACATATAGTTTAATCATTAAGTACAAAATTAGTGTTTGACTACTGTTGCTTCAAAATGGGCCTGTCAGTATCTTATCTCCTCAATTAGTTAAAACATGGGAGTTAAAGAAGACTGAATTTGTCAACATAAAAGAAAAAACAAAACAAAGGAGAATAAAAAATTCAGCAGCAGGCCAATCTCTCCCTCCATCAAATTATTCTCTATATTAACACCATCTCTCCCCTCTTGACTTTCCTCACAAAAAAAAAAGTCTCACCACAAATACTAACACAGAAAAATTCTCTCCCCACATAACACCACCATCATCATGTTCTCATCATCATCACCCGGCCATCAAGTGATGACGAGGTCGACCGTCGACCATGCGGCCCAGCAATGGATGTGGATGAAGCGCCACCGCAGCAGCCACTTCCTCGCCGCCACCGCCACGTGGGAAGAGAGAGCCTTCGCGGAGGACGCGTCCAGCGTCCTCGGCGGCGGAGGCTGCATTTGGCCCCCGAGGTCCTACGCGTGCAGCTTCTGCCGCCGCGAGTTCCGCTCCGCCCAAGCCCTCGGCGGCCACATGAACGTCCACCGACGGGACCGCGCTCGTCTCAAGCAACAACAGTGCCACGACGAAGAACAAGAAGAAGAAGAACAAGACCATCATCCCATTCCCACCGCCGCCACCACCACCACGAACTCCTCCCCTAGGGTTTCCTCGTCCTCAATTACCACCGCCAGCAATAATAACGAGTGTGCAGGTTGGCTGGATCTTGGACTCATGGTCAACGTTGTGGAAAGTAGTAGTCTCGATGAGTTGAGCGGTCATTGTTATAACGACGTGGAGGCGATTTTGGCCGGTGGGAAGAGGCGGAAGACGGCGGCGGCCACCGCGGGGGTGACGACATTGTCGCTGTCGATGGGGGCGGCGTCGGAGGGGATTGGGTTCGGAAGAGATTTGGATCTTGAGCTTAGGCTCTGATCCAGGATATGCTTTTAATTTACCTTCGATCTACAGCATTTCATAATTACCATGTTACCGTTCTAACATATATGTTATTATGAGGGAAATTAATTATGAATTCACGTCGAAAAATGATCGAGTAGTTTGAATATGTTTTTTTGTTTTGTTTGTTATTTTCTTTCGTTTTCCCGTTTCTTTGTTTGTGTTTCTAGTTTCTAGCAGTGCAGTGCAGGTTTATCTAATTAATTAACTGATGTTTAGTTTCTTTGTCCATTATCTTCATTACCACTAAGTATTAAGTAAACCCAATTTCTGGACTGTATCAACAAATTTCCTGGGGAAGAAGAATATACATGTTTAGGAGGAAGAAATCATTAAATTCCTTAACACACCAAATGGGAAGCCTGGCAGTTGGGGAATGACAGAAGAGCCAATTACTACTGCAAGTGAAGTGAAAGGAGAAGGCCTTACTAAAACTGGGACTGGGTTTGTAATCAATGAGACAGGGAACCAAATTTGTGCATAAAAGAGCTTCTTCATTGTTTGTTTACCCGAAATGGCAAGGAAACCAGGAGTTTAATTCATCCTTCTGCCTTCCCCACTGTTAGTCTCTGCATAGTTACCAAACAATAAAAGCCCAACCTTCCTTCCGTCATATCCATCGCAAGGCGACGAGGGAAACGAAAAGCTCGGAGAGAGACGGGATATGAATTTGACTGTGGGATTTTAGACAGATATCAGTTTACTTTGTTTGAAAGAAAAGAAAGAAAAAAAAACCAATGCTACTCTGTGGTCCAGCAAAGAATATGTTATTTATATATTAGAAAAAGGAACTGACAGTAGGTCATTTCAGCTACATGCCCAAATTGATACATCAACTCCATGCACTACCAGCTGGATCGAAGGAATTACCAGAGCGGGTTTCCCACAATGGTGCCTGCTGCTTACTCATGTACCCTCTCATTTCGGGCAAATAAAACTACATCTCTTTGTTTCCGACAGTAGTGCATGTTTCAACCTTCAAGGCCAGAGGGCAGGGCGAGTTTAGGATATACATATTAACATATAGATATGATATGGTACCGGTATCTTAATACTGAATACCAACATCTCGAATACCAAATAGTATCATAAATACGTACAATTTCAATTTTGTTCTCAAAATATCTCAATCCCGAAATTAATGTTGCGAAAATGATTGCAAAAAGAATGTGAAATGTGTCAAGTATATATAATAACGACAATATTAGGGAAATGTGGTGTCTAAGGAGCACATTAACAAATCAAAGCACCAAAATAAAACATGTAACGCCTATAAGCAGCCCATACACATACTACAAGAAACGAAATAAGTTTGGTTTGGGTTGTCTACTAGTCAGGGATTGAATCATGTATAGTTAAATTGTCATTTTGCAAAATGCGCACTAGCTTATATTTTGATATATCTCTAGTGCAAAATAGCACTTAAAAAAAATCTCAATTTCATTAAATAATATGTACATTTGATAATATCAAATGTCTCAAAATTAATACGCGCTAGTCGTTATATCTCTAAATTAGTACGATTTTACCAATTTATTCACTAATAATTAAGTAATGCAATCATTCACCATTATAAAGAAGAAGAAAAAACTTCCTCTTGGTTAGACATAGGCCACATGATCGATCGAGAATGAACAATTCCTAAGCCGTCTACCGCTGTAGCTGGCTAGCTCTCTCCCAAAATCAGTGGGAAAGCTCCAAAAAAGCCACCTACTCCACAGGGAATCAAAATCCTATTAAACAAATATATGAAGCAACCTGCATCTGCATGGCCGGAATAGATGGCTTGATTATACACTTAAATGTCCGGTCCGTCTACATCACATCATCAACACTACTACTGCAGTTGTATAGTATTTCTTCTACGCGTCGCTTTTGTTTACTTCTTAGCTTAGCTTAGGCTTAGGCGCTATGCCCTTTTTTGCACGTATGTGATTATTGCTGCTACATTGACATATATACTACACACAATCACACACCAATTAAAACGACCAACCCTCTCCTCTCTCTGATGAATCGCCTAACTCTTTATCCTCGATTATCAATCCAACCAAAAAGCAGTTCTCTTCACAAACCCTTGTGTACATTTATGTGCGGACATGATTGTATTCGGGGAGATGATCAGGTGCATGTGCAATGTATTGGGGACATAATGGTGTTGGAACTCTTTCAAGTGTTTGTTCCAAAGTTTACCGATAGAGGCAAGTTGATGAAACATCGGCTTTGACTTAATGTGGCCCAATTCCTCTACTGCTGCAGACTTGCTACAATATGCCTGCCTCTGCCAGCTTCCAGGGGAATTTAAGTTCCCCACCGAATAATAACACACAGCTTTCCCCTTTTCGCTTTACATTATACAATATTTCCATCTCCCCAGAAATTTCCTTTTGGGCATGGGGGAATTCAAGAACATGTGTAATTCTGGTTGTGTTTTGGTTGGAGCTCTCACCATGGATCCATTAGTGAGTTCAGACAGATGGGTCACAATCTGTGATATAAATGTCCCTCCTTTTCTCTCCCTGGACATACGTGGGGTTCCTGATGGGGAGAGATGCAGAGAGAGAGAGAGATGTACAAAAGGGAAATTGAGGGTTGGTTACTTTGGGTTTCTAACAAGTATCAGGTTTGTGTAAGTAGAGAAGTTAATTTTGGTTGGTTGGGAATTATAGGTTGGGTTTCGAGGTGAAGAGTGCGAACTGTGCTAATCAATGGATTGGGATCATTGAAGTTGATGCAATAAGAAGGGAAGGCAGCTAAGAAGGATAGAGATATACCAAGTGAAAGAGAGAGGCTACTTTGAATCCTTTAGATTGGAGTGCACATGGGCGCAGTCTAGGGTGTGGTATAATTAAAACTAGTTCGGTTAATGGAATCAAAATCGTAAAATCGTTAACTAGCTCTCATCCGCAAAACCAGACATTGGAAAAATTGTATATCAAAACAGATAAGAGAAGGAGGTTATTATCACTTATTTTCATGATTCGTTTTGTATTTTCCATCTTTTCCTAAGTGTAATAGGATATAACAAAAATTGGGAAACACTATGAAACTAGTTACCCAAGATCGGAAATGGTTTCATACTTTGCTACAATAAAAACCAGGACATTGTTGTGTAACTGAGTAGATCTAGGTAGTTGATCAACAAAAAGGTAGAATATTGGTTAAGCATAAAGAGAAAAGGGTCGATCAAGTTTTCACAAGACCACAACCAGTTGGTAGGTTAGCCTTGAGCCCTTAACCGATATCAAAATCAATAAAAACTTACATATATAACCATCTATGTAATTTTAACATTCATAAAAATCATCAAAACACAATCTCACGGTGTTGAAGTTCATCGAAGAAGAAACGTTTGATGGGTGAACACGATCGACAATTTGACTTACTCAATCGATTGACTGATTTTGTGATGATATATTTCAACCGACTTGTCTAGACACTATACCGATTTTAATAAACCACAAATTAATGCTATTTATAAATGAATATCAATTAACAATGCTGAATTAAAATCTTAGTTGTGATAATTGATTAAATAAAATATAACTAATAGTTCCGGCCAAGTGACCGGTTCCATGCTAATGAATGATAATAATATACTTGCAGCCTCAATTATCCAATGAAAAAATTCGTAGTGATAATCAAATTGACAAAATAAAAATTCAACATAACATAATCTACATTAAATACATCCAAAGTAGTATGAACCGTGAATACAAAATTTATGGAAGATGACATGTCTTAGCTTATCTGCAAGACTGCGATATATTAAGCTTTATGAATAATGAAATAATATGGTTTAATTGCATGGTTGGTCACTGAAATTACAAAAAACGTTTATGTTTGGTCACTGAAAATATTTAAATCCAATTTTGGTCACTCAAATTAGTTAAATGGTTCAAGTTTGGTCACTCTCCGTCCAACTCCGTTAAATTTGTCTGATGTGGCAGTCAACCCTCAAAATTGACCGTTAACTCAGTGACGTGGCAATTAAAAAATAATTAATAAAATAAATTTTAATATTCTACCATTTCCAAGTTATTTTCACAATAAAGTAAAATAATTAAAAGCAAAAAATATTATAATTACAAATTGAAAAGTGGTGATTCTCTTTTGGTCGGCGGCGCATTACAAGACGAAGAAGACCGTGGAGGGGACGAAGGCGAGGGCGAGGGCGGTGGAGTGGTGAGGTAGTATCTCTGAACAAAGGAGAGAGATGAACGTTGCTGCTGCTCGACCGGGTCGAAGGACGTCTCTCGGCCGGCACTTCTCTGGTCCAGCCATCTATGACGTTGCAAATCGCGGAAGCCTTGGAGCAGAAATTACACGCTCCCGGTAGGTAGCGGAACCAAGCTCGTGATAGCAAGCAGCTACCTCGTATCATTGAGAACGTCGCCATGGTTAGAGCAAATCGGGAATCAGTGGCGTAGCCAGGATTTTGAGTAAGGGGGTGTCAATTTAAAAAAATTAAAATGACTATCAATTTTTTATAGTGATCCACGACGGGTTTTCATATTTTGAAAAGTCTGTAAAATACATTCATTTACTTCTTGAATAAGCATGTAATTATGAGGTTTTTTAATTTAATTTACTTATTATTTGTAAACGGTAAATTATATATATGCAATAGAACGTATTATTGTATCATGTAAGTAATTGTTGTTTAGTGGAAGATGTCAAAGCTAATAGTAAGGGGGTTCCATGTTCAAATCCTAACTATAGCATAAACTAATACCCCTATTTTTTTAATGTTCTAGCCCCGCCCCAAGGGTGTGCCACGGCACACCCTTCTAACACTGTGTCTCCGCCCCTGCCGGGAATGCTACTACTTTCTCTCAGGCAAATGATCGAACACTTGGCGTGCAATCTTCCAACCCCTCTGACCGCGATTCCAATTTCCACGCTTTACCTCGCCCTTGTGGCCTGTGGGTTAAACTAAAAGATAGCCCAGAGATCCCGACCATATTGATCAAGGAAGGATCGGACATGACCAATTCCTCCACCAACTCGGCGTTTTGTCCTTTAACCGCCATGTGAAGCGTCGTTTGCCCTTTCTTGTTAGTTCTGGTGGCGATTGCAAGGTCTTTACCTAGAAGCGCCTTCACTATCTGCAAATGCCCATTTCTCGTCGCGGAGTGCAAGGCCGTCTTGCCGTTGCTCTTGGCGATGGCCGCGACGGTGCCGCATCGCTCCAGGAGGAAATCACCACGTCCATGTGTCCCTGCGCGGCGGCCGAGTGCAGCGTCGTCGTATTGGACGAATCGAATGTCATCGCCAGCTCTGGATTCGCCTTCATCAGAACCCTCAATGTTTCTGCAAAATCGAAAATGATTAAACCAGTGATTTTCTTTTCTCCCGTTTCAATTGAAGGGTTTAGAGTTGAGCCGTACCGAGATTGCCTTGCTTGGAGGCGATGTGGAAAGCGTCGTAGCCATTCCTGGCCTTGATCCCGGCCAATCCGGTGTCGCAGTGCTTGATGAGTTCCTTCACGATGTCGACGTGGCCGCACTCGGCGACGACGTACAACGGCGTTTCACCGGACTGGTTCTGCTTCGAAAGCAGCTTCCTCAGCTCCTCCTCCGTCGCAGCCGCCCCCTTCACCGCCCTCTTCCCCTCCACGGTCTTCTTCTTGTAATGCGTCGCCGACCAAAAGGGAATCGCCCCTTTTCAATTTGTAATTATAATATTTTTTATTTTTTAATTTTACTTTATTGTGAAAATGAGTTGGAAATGATAGAAGATTAAAATTTATTTTTTTAATTATTTTTTAATTGCCACGTCACTGAGTTAACGGTCAACTTTGAGGGTTGACTGCCACATCAGACAAATTTAACGGAGTTGGACGGAGAGTGACCAAACTTGAATCATTTAACTAATTTGAGTGACCAAGATTGGATTTAAATATTTTCAGTGACCAAACATGAATGTTTTTTATAATCTCAGTGACCAACCATGCAATTAACCCATAATCTGAATCGCTATTCGTCGCCCTAAAATTCAAATTTTATCGCCCTAAAACGCACTAAATCGACATATTTACCCCTTAATAAAATTTATATTATCCTTACTTTCGTCTCTCTCCCACCTCGGAGTAGCCGGAGTTCGAAGCTAATTCAAACGAAAAAAGGGCAAGGGAACAAGGAGTCGATTACTCGATTTAAGTATAATTGAACTCCTACTTGCAAAACGCGACCCAGCCGCCCGCTCACAGCTCCAGCGGCGGTTGTCGGAGAATTGACGCCGAAATTTTGGTGCCATTTTTGTCCTAGTCATCGTCGTCCATCGTTCAGGAATCAGGTAGAGGAAAGAGGAGAGTCTAACCGGCTTTCGTTCTGCCGTTGCTTTCAACCCCATCTCCCCGTCCACCGTCGCCTTGCACGTAGTCAACTTCTTCCTCGTCTCCAATAATAGCTTGTCCAAATAAATGCCACAGTTTTGTGTCCCCAATGAAAAGCAACCATATTAATAAATCCCAATGTAGCTTGCTTCCATGTCCCCAGCTGAAATGGACATGATCTTTGGTAGCCCGGCCACCGCTGTAGTTTTTTCCCTGTAAATAAATGCACTAAGGACATTAAAGTAAAATTAACTTAATTAGGGCGACGAATAAGGATTTTTAGGGCGACGAATAGCAATCCCCAAAATAATATTTATAAATTTAGAACAAAGTCTCATTAAAAAAACCTTGGCCCATGAAGAAAGCCCGAGAGAAACTCAAATCGAAATTGAGTCCAATACACTTGATCGAAAAAAACATTTGAGTCCAATACAGAAACACAAAGCTATTGAAGGATTCGTCGACTTGGTTGGAATATTGCAAGTAACCCGAAAAACATTAGAAAAAATCGTTTTCCTTTGAGATTTGTGTCCGCAACCACTTCCTGATGGACAAATATCATCGTTAGTTGATGCTACTGGAACTAAACACTGGTGATTAACTATCCAAATTCGTATAGTCAGTCCAATAGGATTGCCGATTGCAAATGCCTTATCCTCTTAGTCATCCAAATGCGAACACACGTACCTCAGGGTAAAAAAAATACAGCAATTGCTTGTCCTGCTGGATGCCATTTTCCATTTTTAATTTGCAGGCTAATTTGGGAGGCAGATTGAGACGGGTGAGTAGTTCACAGCCGTTGCCAAATTTGTCATTCTCAGCCAACCCCTGCTCTCGAAGTGCAAGTCCGTTTTATACATGGATTAGAAATCTTTTACCATAGTTCCAAACCACATGAGACTAACTATTGAAGGTCTGAGCATGACAAGAAAAAATTGTGTAGGAAACACTATGAGACCATGGTAAGGATACCGATATGGTGATCCAACACGTGATTTAATCGACTTGTACGATATGATATTAGAATGGTAAAGTCTCGTGTTAGCATCTCAACTGTTAAAATCATCGTCTGTTTGAAAAAGGGAGACGGTTCATTGATTTGGGTGGATATTGTATAGTGGCCAATACAGTTTTGAAGTTCTTCATCAATCTTAATATAATGTGATTAACAAATGAGTGTCGTCGGGATTCAAACAAAAGGTTTTTCGTCTATCAATGATTGTCATGTGCTTAACAAATGCTCTGATATCATGTGAAGAACTAATTGTTTTCAATGACTCGGATTGTTGAGTGAGATTCAATTATGGTTCTTAATATTGTGGAATATTTTTTATGCATAGAATTGTAAAGAAATTTTCATGATAAATGATATGGATAGCAGGATAGGGAATGGTTTATGGCTTTATGCATGACTGATAAACAATTTAAATATTATATTAAATCCATTATATAGAATAATACTTTGTAATCTATTTTTTACAGCCATAAAACGGTTATCTATCAACCATTTTTATGTTGATCTACCGTCAAACCTAAAACCTAAATGTTTGGGTCGACGTTGTCCCGTCGAATCCAATTGTGAAAATGAATTGCTTTCATGCATGTGCTGTATATATCGGTATAGGTTGGATTGAGACTTAGCATCGAACTGGAGCTCGACCGGTAACACTAAACATCAGTCGGTGGACACCTGATGAAACTGACGAGGCGACAATAAGCTAGCTTTCTGTTTTGTCTGACTAAAGCCGGACAGAAATGGCCATTTGCAACTTGTGGTTGGAACCGCCCTCAGATACTATTATTGGCCCCCCAGAGTCGATCGATTTCAACTTCTAATCGGTACTACTACGGCTACGTGAGTCGTGACCGTCGGTGATTATAGTTGTTACCATCATGTTAGCAATACTAGTACAGTTGTAATTATATATTCTTTAATTTTACAACCATAGGCAATTATAGTTGTAGTTACGATTTTTACAGTTATAGTCGGGTTTTTTTATTTATTGTTGAAGAATAATCACAACTCTGATAAATCTACTACAACTCATGATTAGCATGATGCTAATTCGAGTACGTGTCCGCTCTTTGGACATGACCTGACCGACCGGACCCCTGCTTTTAGTGCCCAAAGGAAGCCAAGCCACCAAACTCCTCGTACCGGTGGGTAGCAGAAAGAGAGAGCACAATTAGAAATGAACTTCCCCAGTTAATCACTCCACTCCTCTCACGCTTGCGCAACGTCAAAGGACAAACACAAACACAAGAAAAGAAAAAACCCTCAAGTGCATGCCCCCCAATTTTTAATTTTGCCTTCTTTCTCTCCTTTCCTTTCCCTACCTTAGTTTCTTGATAAGGATTTGATGATGAGGCATCCATCTCCAAGTGTAACGCTCGTCCTTTAGTATTTACACAAAAAAGTTACGTGTCCAATTCACGCTTCCATTCTATATATACCCTCCTCTTCCTCTTCCACTTCCACATCCACCAAACCAAATCCTCTCTCGACCCTTAAATTCCTCTCCTCCAATCGCACAACAGATCCCATTCTCTCTTTCTTCCGTAAGATCCCAATGGCGACTGCCAACGGCCACTCCCCGCCGGCCTCCAGATGGTCTCTCCACGGCATGACCGCTCTCGTCACCGGCGGCACTCGCGGCATCGGGTAACCATTCACCCACTTCTCTCTATGCTTCAATTTTTACGCTGAAAAAATGGTAGCGATCAGATCATGCATGTAAAGAACGTGACGGTGGAAAGAAAGAAAGAAAGAAAGAAAGAAAGAAAGAAAGAAAGAAAGCGAGCGGGGGATCTGTTCTGTTGCGTTGGATGGATCTCATCTACCGATTCACTTTCCCTTTCCATGAGGGGACCGAGAATTGAATATCCAACTTCGTGGGCCTGTGCGGGCCGAAGCCCATTCTTCTCCACGATTTAATGGGCAGGCTTGCTGATCTGGGCCTGGGCTTTTCTCTTTTTATTTTCTCAGGAGTGCAACTGTGGAGGAACTAGCTGGGCTGGGGGCCAAGGTCCACACGTGCTCGCGCAACGAGTCCGAGCTCAACGACTGCCTACAGCAATGGAAAGCAAAGGGCCTCTCCGTTTCCGGGTCGGTCTGCGACGTGTCGTCGGCGTCCGAGAGGGAGAAGCTCGTCCATGAAGTGGCCTCGCTCTACAATGGCGCGCTCAACATCCTCGTAAGTCTAAGTTTAGTGCTTGCATCGAATGCGTTGGTTAAATTAAATTGATCGGGTTCTGCGTACACAGGTGAACAACGTCGGGACGAATGTCAGGAAGCCCACAACAGAGTATTCGACGGAAGAATACCTGAGACTGATGTCCGTTAATCTGGAATCATCGTACCATCTCTGCCAGCTGGCACACCCGCTTCTCAAGCAGTCCGGTGCCGGGTCCGTCGTGTTCGTATCGTCGGTGGGCGGCGTTCTCCACATTGGCAGCGGCTCCATTTATGGCCTCTCCAAAGGTCGTTACGTTTTCCCACGCCAACTGTTCGACGAAATTCCTCACTGACTGCCTCTAAGTATCTAATTGATAATTGTTGGAAAATTTCTCTCTGCATCAGGTGCAATCAATCAGCTGACCAAGAATCTGGCTTGTGAGTGGGCGAAGGACAACATCAGGACCAACTGCGTCGCTCCATGGTACACCAGAACTTCTCTCGTCGAGCATGTAAGTTAATCAATGGCCCTCCCTAACAAACCAACCGCTTTCATGGCCATGGCTATTTCTCTGTTTGTTAATGTTGGGGGATCTGAAGTCAATTTTGGGTTTTGCAGCTGCTGGAGAAGAAGGATTTCTTGCAGCAAATAGTGGCGAGAACGCCGCTCCAGAGGATCGGAGAGCCGAACGAAGTGTCGAGCTTGGTGGGGTTCCTGTGCATGCCGGCGGCTTCCTACATCACCGGACAAGTGATCTCTGTGGATGGAGGAATGACAGTGAATGGCTTCAACCCTCCAATCAACCTAGACTGAGACAAACTGGCAGCCTTTTCTTAATCAAATGTGATTGCATTCTGCATTTGCATTGTAGGTATTCTAGGTATATTGGGGATTCAAATTAGCTAGTAATTCCTAGTTTTAATCATTATATACTGTACACCGCAATTATGAATAAAAAAAAAATGTCTCTACGTCAATCTCAGTTGTTTGTTTGGTGGGAAGATGATGATTGGGATGGATGATCCGACTCATTCACCCCATCCTCAAGCAAGCTCATAAATTGAAAGCTGTAATACAAATTTTCATCAGTGAAATGACTCATGAGTCATGAGCGTAGTTGTAAAAGAAAGAACTGGAAGTTCATAAATATCTAGCGTATGCACCGGAAATCAAGGACAAGTTGCATCTAGCAGCAAACAACGAATCTTTTTTATAATGTGACAATGACATCATTGGAGTTGCAGGTTCAATGGTTCATTAAAACTCAGTCCTCCTTTGCCCTCATCATATCCATGGCATATTAGCTCCTTTTATATTTTGGGTAAATTGCAAGGTTAGTCACTGAAAGTACTAAAAAATTCACGTTTGCTCACTGAAAGTATTTTATTCCACTCGTAGTCACTGAAAATGGCAAAACGTTTCACGTTTGGTCACTCTCCGTTAGTCTCTTCAGCCTCCATTAACATCGCCAGTATTTTACTGACATGAATAACAAAATCCTGATTCACTCATTTTTAAACCGCCATGTCAGACCCTTTACATAAACCAACCTCATTCAATCCCTAACCTAACCCGATCCCACACACCACCGCCACCTGCCATCATCACCTTCCACCATCGCAACCTTGACGTCGTTCTCCTCCTCCTCCTTTGCGAATATCAGCGCCTCCTAGACTGGTCGCTCAACCTTCCTTGCAATCGACCATCGTCTCTCAACTATAAGAAATAACCAACCCCATTTCCCAAATCTAACGTTCAACACAAACAAAACCTAGAAAAGGATGAACAAGAACATAAAGGTGGGGTGATGGGATTCGGATGTTACCATGAGAAAGCTAGAGAGAAAGCTCTGATTTGGATTTTCCCAAGGGAGTTGATTCAACCGGTCTCCTAGCATTATACGAAACCCTAGGTTGAATAGAGCACTACCCATTCATCGATTTGTCATTCCGGGTCATTCCCGAGGGAGTCCATCTCCAAACAGTAGTGTAGTTGAGTCGATCGAGCTAGGAGGATACCCAACATCGATCCAAAGAACGGACCTAGGACGATTCAACCCAAGAGAGCTCCCAACCTTTTAAATAGCTAGGTTAGTTAGTTTAATTCTTCTAATCACCATCCTAGGTTGGCTAGATAACGAAACCTAAACCTGAAATAGGGTAAGCCTAGATCCTCGTGGTACGATAAATTTTAATTGCTTGCTTGCCCTACGCTACACCCGATCGGAGGTTATACTTGACCGACGATTGGGATGTTGTAGTTAGAACGAGTCAAGGTGTCAGGTTTTCCAAGTAGAAAACTTCTTATGAATTCTTGTAGAGAGCTCTGTATACCGGTCCTAAAGAGACTATGTCTTTAATATGAAAGATACGAAGGTTTTTTCCCACACCCGAGGTCATTGTTATGCCAGTTGTATCACTCAATCTCGAAGCCTTGTCCTAATGATTGATTGGGGGCGCCATTGTCGGGGAACACAGTCTATTACTCATAAAAGGTTGTTTACTGTTAATCTAGCATTTCGTTTTTGCATTTGTGAGTTGGATCTTGCTTAGCTTGGCGTGTGTTGTGTTTGTGAAGTGTGTGCATGAGGTATATGACCATGAGCAACCCGACACTTTGACACCACTCGTGCCACTTTCGATGATTGATTGGGGAAATAAACATGGTATACTTTTCGAGATTCACCTTATTCTCGAAGTTGGCACAAAATTCTTTGAGGCATCTGTTGATAACGCCAACCTTTTTTACATTCCGCTTCTGCAAAAAAAATCAAATCTTCAACAAAGAAAAGATGTGGGAGTCTGAGACCACCTAAGGAGAGAGCTATCGGTTTCCACTCTTTATCCCTCGTTGTTTTTTCGATCTCGTGAGACAATCTCACCCATAGAGCACAAACAGATAGTAGGAGAACAGATCTCCTTGTTGAACATCTCGAGGTGGCGATATGAGAGATGTTAGTTTGCCATTCCACAAGATAAGCATCTCGTTGTGAACAACTATATAATCTCCATCACTAATCACTTTATACATTATCCAAACCAATTATTTAAATTGCTCATTCCCTAGGATGATGGATTATTGGGTGCTTAATGATTTGTTAAACTATAGTAAGTAAAAGAATCATAAGTAACCATCCAAACCAACCTCAACTATTGATTATAATCATGCATAAAAGAAAATAATTAGAGCCACTTCAAAATATGAATGAGATATTTAACGTAATTTCAATAACAGATAACATAACTATCAAGGATCCTAGACTCGCAACAAGTGGCAACACATCTGAAGACATAAAGCATCGTAGATTGACAGATGATCTAAATAATGAATATAAAGGTTCTCGTTGACTTATATGTCATTAGCATGCCACATGTAAGACTTCCCATGTTTTTGTGTGTGGTTGAGACGTTTTCTTGATAGTCAATAAATACTGACATGTGATCTAAACGTGTGCTATTATCCTCTCGTTACGTGGTCGTTTTTGTTAGATCAGTGGAACAAATATAGTAACAACCCAGAAGTATCATATTGGACACCTCGTCCTCTAGATCTTGACCATACTGATTTTCTTACTTCACGCTCATTCTCGCTCGCGTTATATTAATAAAAGACAAAACATTATATCATCTTTTGCAGTAGCTTCTCATTCCCTCTAACAATTTGAGATCATAGTACTTTTGATCCCTTATATATAACAATTAACAACGGTATGAAAACTTTTCTATGATGCTCTTGAGCTTCAAAGATTCCACTCGACAGACTTAAATGTTGGGGAGGATTGTTAACTCCCCCGCTCATCGAGCCATCATGCAGCTCTTTGAGCAATCTAAGACTCTTCCAAATTAAGGCTAGGTTGGATGAGCCCACGGGTGGATGGGATGTGCACGGGTTAATCGTTGCGGTTAGCAAACTGCACAAACCACCCATTTTCATTCTGATTTATGAGTTATGACTACCGCTGACTCCGCCAACCACACTAGTTTGAGCTCCGTTAACCAAACACCAAAACATCAGAATCCACGGGTGTTTGAAATTCGTAGGAGACAGAACGTCAAAACCGGTGGCAAAACCTCAGAAATCCTAAAGTAAAAACCACCGCAAGGGTAAAAAAAGGAAAGTTAAAAAGTTAAAAACAACGGAGGAAGGAAGGAAAGACGGTAGTATTGGTTTGATCCAACACGTCGTATTACGCGTGGAGGGACGAATGTAACACGAATCTCGTATTTGACAATCTCCGCCACGTGGTGATATCATCCGCAAAATATCATAATCAGAGAAAACGGAAATAAAAGAAAAGTAAAAAACAATATTAGACTCTCCTCCGCCTAGTACAGCACCACATGCGTGTCAGAAAAGGATGGTAGCTCCAACGAACCGTGTTCCGCCCTCATTGGTCCACGTACTCACCCTCCCGAAAAGTTCCGGTGCACGTGGTCGATTGTTGTGAGGAGAGAGAGCGATGGACGGCCCAGATTGTTGTGTCCTAGTACTGCCCTTTTACCTTCCTGCTGCCCGTATCAACGTCATTCCAACTGGCCATGTCGGATCTCCTCTGCCCCTGCCCTGCCCGTGACGGTGACGGGCACCTGCCCGGAGCCCTTAAAAAAATATTGCAGTGCGGGTCCCACGCACCCCCCCAGGCGAAAAAAGCTTCTTCTTCCTCCTCCTCGCCCCCTCTTTCCCCAACGCCATTTTATTACCCTTCCCCATCTTCCTTTCCGGGGATCTCTCTCTCCTCTCTTCTCTCTTTCGGATCGAATTCGAAGAAAGTGTTTGCGCCTGCTTCTATTCTGTGTTCGAATTTTGATTTTTTTTTGAAGGGGAATTATCCCTAAACATGGCTGGGATTTGCTGTGGATTTGTTGGCGAGAGTGACGCAACGGCTCCGGTGGAGCCGAGCACTAAGGCTTCACGGCGGAGGAGATTGGACCTCCGCACATTCTCCCTTGCTGCGGATTTGTCCGCCGCCTCCGATGACACCAGCCGGAAACAGCGTAAGCTCGTTCCGTCAGCTGGTGCGAGTAGTAGCTCTACCCCGCGTGATTGCCTGAACGCCGTCGAAAATTCACGGCCATGCGGCGGCGGGGGAGCCGATTTGGAGGGGAAGGAGCGTGAGGTGAGAAATTCCGTGGAGATTGAATCTGCTCTGAAGCCGGAGGAAAGCTGTGCAGTTCCGACGGCGAAATTCGGATTGACTTCTGTTTGTGGTAGACGGAGGGATATGGAAGATGCGGTTACTGTACAGACAACCTTCGGCCACGTAGGCACTTCCTTCTTCGGCGTTTTCGATGGCCACGGCTGCTCTCATGTACGGGCTTTAATTAATTTTGTGTTCCCGTCGGTTCCAATTTTTTTGTTTCGCCGTTTCGTGGTGAACACAGTGGACTAATTTCTAGTGGGTTCCGTCTTTGCTTAGGTCGCTATGAAGTGTAAAGACCGCCTGCACGAGATATTGGAGGAGGAAATCAGGAGCTACGGCCAGGAGAATTCAATCGAATGGAAAGAAACCATGGAGCGGAGCTTCGCCAAGATGGACGGCGAGGTCGGGGACTGGTGCACCGACGAAGCTGCAAAGGCCACCGCTTGCCGTTGCGAGCTCCAGACACCGCAGTGCGACGCCGTTGGTTCCACCGCCGTCGCGGCCGTGGTGACCCCCGACAAAATCGTCGTCTCCAACTGCGGCGATTCCCGTGCCGTCCTTTGCCGTAACGGCGTCGCTGTTCCCCTCTCTTCCGATCATAAGGTAACGGAACTAGAAAAATTGAGCTTTTTTCCTCTGATTCGTTTCCACCCGGATTGTCCAATCTCCGAGGGTTCGTTTCTGATTTCCGGTTAATTCTTTTCAGCCTGACCGGCCGGACGAGTTGCTCCGTATCCAAGCCGCCGGCGGCCGTGTAATCTACTGGGACGGCCCTAGAGTCCTCGGAGTTCTTGCAATGTCGAGAGCAATCTGTAAGATCTGGAGCCAGAGCCATAGTCCCCTTTTCAATCTAAATCTTTTTCGCAGTCCAAATTCCTGTTTCGAGACGCGGCTGATTAGAAAAGTTCAATTCTTTTTTCAGGGGACAACTACTTGAAGCCATACGTGATTCCTGAGCCAGAGGTGACCGTCACGGAACGAACAGGAGACGAGGAATGTCTTATCCTAGCAAGCGACGGGCTGTGGGATGTGGTGTCAAATGATACCGCTTGCGGAGTGGTCAGGATGTGCCTCCGCGCCCAGAAGCGGCCCTTGCCGGTGGCGGAAGTATCTCCGTCAGGCGACGCCGCCGTGGGGAGCGGCTCCGATAAGGCCTGCTCCGACGCCTCGATGTTGCTGACAAAGCTGGCACTAGCTCGGCACAGCACTGACAACGTCAGTGTGGTGGTGGTTGATTTGAGACGCAAGTCCAAAGCTGTAAACCCTTAATTGGGCTCGGATTTAGAATGAAAAAACAAAAAGAGCAATTGGGAATTGGTGGGATAATATATGGAATAGTTACATACGTATGTAGATCAGAACTAGCTTTAGATTTCCCCATATTGGATGTTTGGTTAGCTTTGTGGAAGGAAAAGAAAAAAAAAAAAAAAAAAGAGATCCAAGTTATTTCCCATCTGTTTTAATTTTTCCTATCTGACTGCTGAAATGTGCAGGATTGGGGTTGGTTTTGGGACAGCGGGAGAATGTATAATATGACATCAAGAGTCTCCATTTGTAAAACTGAGAATTGAGTAAATCTTCTGGTCTGTTTATCTGTTCGAGCAGAGCAAGCTCCAATCCAAGCGTATAAAAGAATTTTGGATAGCGATGTAGTGGGCTTGTGTTCCGCAAGTGTTATCTGGAGAATTGGAATTAGTTAAAAACGTGCCTTCTGTTTGAGGTGGAGAAATTGCGGGTGAGCTGACAGGAGTCTGGTCAGGGCAATACAAAATAGAAAGAAGGAAACCTTAGGCAACACATAATGGAAGGAGGAATTCGGTCTGCTGGTCTTGTCATTTTGATATTGTTGCAAGTGCAGATTAGGAGGAGGTGGTAGCGGGGAGGCGTGGCGAGTTCTTAGACGATGAAGGCGACATCTGAAATTACAATAATGATGGGGGAGAGTTGAAAGAAATGGAGGAGGGTTAGTTTAATGGAGGAAGGAGTTGTTAATCAAAGGTGGCGACGTGGCGTGGTGGTGATGTGGTAGTTAGGCAGAGAAGGAGGGGGTACGTGTAACGAGCGGAGGGATCCATGCAATGATATGGTAGAACTGGTCTGCTAGCCAGAGAGGAAACCCGACGGGGAGGGAAAAAAGGATTAGGAAATCAAATGAGGCAAATGGTTGGCAAGGAGAGGAGATACTATGAGACTGAGAGGATTAGATAATCAGACCCTTCTCTGCTGAGCTGGCTATTGGGAATGAATTTTGATGACATACTATAATAATAATAATAATAATAATATTATTATTATTATTATTATTGTTTATTTAGAAAATTGATATGAGGGTGGGGTCCAGGTGGGTCGCTGGTGTTAGGCCACTTTTGGGGTATTGCATAGCTGGAGGGCACGGTCGGGTGCATTATTATTAAATTAATGGGCTGTGTTTGTTGATTCCAATTCTTCGACGTGACGTGGAGGGTTAGGGGTGCTGACCACCACGACTTTGACGAGGGGACGACACGTGGGAGGGGAGATGGTGTTGAGTTGAATGTGGGCATCGCTGGGTTTGTAAAAGAAAAGAGTAGATTTGGTCAGATCTTTGATGTGGACTGGACGGACACAAGCGCAACACAATTACACAAACACAACATCCTTCCTTGGTTGGTGTTAACTTGCTTTTCACCTTTGCCTTCTTTCCTTCAGCATTTGCTGCTGAAACTGCCGAAGCCGGGTCTTCAAAGTTTTGATTGATTACACGCTGATTACCAATGATGATCACCCACTTTAATTTCTTGGTAGCTACAAACTAATAAGCTAAACGGAACACCGATTTTAATATGGTTTTTTTTTTTTAAATCCGTGCAATAAGTCAATTAAGTCACTCAACTCAAAATATTTGTTTTTTATATGATAAAATAATCAAATTAACAGTAGGGAGTTGGGACCATCAAATCATCAATTGGAACAATAGCCCACATACCAGAATTTCAATCGTCGATAATATATTTTTTGGTTAATGTATGTTGAAGTTCATTTCTTGGACTAGGCCACGACCCATTTTGGAGTGGAGATGGTTTGGGTCGCAGAGCACATAATACCCACAGCAAAGGGAAGAAAAGGCTGAAGCAGCAGGCCCAAGCCTACATGTCTGAGCAGGCCGCCGCTGCCATGATGGACTCCTCTCCTCTATTTGTCCCAAACGAAATTGCCTGACAGCCCTAACTCAATGAGCCCATTACCAAAAGGAGATGGTAATTATTTTTTCTTTTTCACCAGCTCCTTACACAGTTACACAGTAACTTTTCCACATTAAGGAATTCAAATTTACCGCGACCGCCGCTGCGAATTTCCCGGCAAGGCAGTAAATACGCGCGCCCCTCCGCCCGAATCCGAGCAGTTCAGGAGCGCTTTCTCGTAGCCCCAACCTCGTCTTTCCGCTGCCGCCGCCGCCGCCGCCGCCGGAGTGAAATCTTAGCAAAATTCCCATATTGCAGAGATTCCGGTTTCCCATATCAAATATCATTCATTCCAATTTTATGACCTATTTTGTCTCGTTTTCCCAACAACCCAATCAGTACGCTCCAAAAGTTATACCTTTTCACAGAAAAGGAAGGAAGCTAAAAGGCATCATGCAAATTCCCTTCTTCATTAAGTCTCTGCACTCGACCCACTGTAGAACTTGCTTCTCTTCTTGCGCCTAAATGGTGGCTGTTCTAGTCTGATTCTCACAGCAGGGCTCTGAGGGTTTCTTTCCCCCCCCCCCCCCCCCCCCCCCCCCCCCCCCCCCCGGAAGAGAAAGGATACATAGAATCCTACCGTGGCCGATTGGGTGATAACTTTACTAGTCTACCTTTGATAAGGTCAGTCTTTGTATCTTTTATTCAATCCTGTTTCATGGCTTCTTCGATTTCTCACGTTCATACATTAGGGAATTGACGTTTTGGGAACTGGAGGGGATGCCCATTCGAGTATTGGCTTGTTGACCAAAATGTGAAAGCGGCAATTGAATCTATGTGTTTATTAATTAGTTTCTTTTCCAAGGACACTGAAATTCAATTTCTTGCCCGTCTCATGTTAGAAAGCAGAACCAGAATGGTAGTGGTGTCCTATTCCTTTATCTGTGCCGTTAAGTTTGTTCTTGCTGAATTTGAATGGACTTTTTGTTGGTATCTCTTAGAATAGGAAAGACCCTGAATGGCATGTTATGCGATAAGTTCCTGAATCCAAATATGTGGCATAGGTTTCTCCAAACAAAGATGAATGCTCCATTGGAGTCTACTTTGTGGGATATACTTGGTGTGATTGAACCTCAGCGGGATGATTGGCTGATTCGGCAAAGAATCGTTCAAGAACTACAAGATGTAGTAAGAACTATTCCAAATCTTAGAGGTGAATCTTAAATGTCACCCCAAAACTATGTGCTGATGTTACTTGAAAGAGACGCCTTAGAATATGTATGCTTGTTTTTGTGCAAAGTTATTATGTTCCTTTAAGATGCTGTCTCAAGTTGACATGGAAATGTTACATCTGGATACAGGTGCGACTGTGGAGCCATTTGGATCATTTGTGTCCAATCTATTCACTCCATGGGGCGACTTGGATATTACTGTTATGCTAGATTATGGTTCTTACATTTCAGTTGCTGGGAAGAAGAGGAAGTTGTCTTTACTTGAGGATGTCTTAAGAGCTCTGAAGGAGAAAGGTATTGGCCTGTCACAGTTAACCTGATCAGAATCCGACCCTTCATTTCATTTTCGATCTTCATTTTTCATCTGATGAACCTTGTTGATTTAATTACCTGCTTCTCATCCAGACCTCAAGGAAGTAAATCATGTATTGTATAAAACTGGATATCCAATTTGTTCTGGATTAACATGCTCCATTTAACGAAAAATGTAGTACCTTCTTGAGTTTAACTTCATCATGCTGAGAAATCGATGTAATAATATCACTTTGTTTATTTTAGTTCCTTAACCTTCCTCTGTTTTTCTTGCATGTAACATGACTAGGCGGTCAAGCTCTTATTGTTTATGTTTGTTCCCCTTTTCGAGGCTTTAGCTTGAATGATCTGCTTGACTGCTGCAGGTGGGTGGTGGAGGTTGCGATTTATCCCAAATGCAAAAGTTCCCATTTTAAAATTTGAGAAAGGATGCCCTGCCATTTCTGGTGATATTTCAATTGACAACCTTGGGGGCCAGATGAAGTCCAAATGCTTGTTCTGGCTCAACCAAATAGATGGACGGTTTCGCCCATTGGTGTTACTGGTACTGGATCAGTTCCCTAGAAAATGTGCTTCTGCAGAAGATATGCAACCATTTGAATCAATTTTTCTCATAATTTAGGTTAAGGAATGGGCCAAAACCCATAACATCAACAATCCGAAGTGTGGGACACTTAACTCATACTCCCTTAGTTTGCTTGTGGTCTTCCATTTTCAGGTGATTTCTTCTCCTTTCACAATATCGTTGTGATGGCCCGTGGACGTGAATTTTGCATTTTTAATTGTTGGTTGACACTCTCCGTCCCTTGCAAATGCAATCCTTGCCTTTTGAGGGCTTTATTGCCGGCATGGGATGTAGGACCATACTTGCTCCACCTTTTGTGGGCTTTGTTGCATGGATGCTGTAGCACTTCATCATCATATGTACTTATTTGGGTTATTCCTTTTTCTTCCATTTAAATGTGTGCAGACGTGTAAGCCAGCAATCTTTCCTCCATTTCATGCTTTATACCCAACAAATGTTGTCGATGACCTTACAGGTGTGAGGGAAACTGCTGAACAAAGTATCTCTGACCTTTTTCATGCCAACATAAGAAAATATATAGCAGGCAGATCCAGAACCATGAACAGAAGTTCTTTGTCTGAGCTTTTTGTTTCCTTTCTAGCAAAGGTAATGAATAGTTCTTGCACTCATCTTATTGTTACTAATCTGTCATCTTAGTGACTAGTCTTCCTTTCTTCTTCCAGTTTTCAACCATAAGTCTGAAGGCCCGAGACTTTGGAATTTGCCCGTTTACTGGGCAGTGGGAAGAGATAAACAACAACACAAGATGGTTTCCCAGGACTTTTGCGCTCTATGTAGCTTTCTTTATCCCTCTTGCTTCTTCAGCATCATCTGCTTCTTTTTTACCTTTTATTTTTATTTTGGTGGGATGCTTCTTTTTACTTTTAATTCCCTTAACACTGTTATATATGTACAGCTAGAGGATCCGTTTGAGCAGCCAGCGAATAGTGCAAGGGCTGTTAGTGTTAGAAACCTAGACAGAATACAGGAAGTGATTCAGAGAACCCAACTTGCCATTTTGTCCCCAAGTTTGAGTTGGATCGATATTCATCCGTTGCTGGTGAAGCCAGAGCTGAGTCGAGTAATCCTGTTTAGAAAGCAGAACCAGAATAGTGGTGGGCAAATGATGCAACTCCAGCAGCAGCAGCAGCCACAGATAAGGAAGCATGTGCATTCTCTTGCGCCGGTTATAGCAGCTCGGGTTCAGAATGCAAGGTCAGAGAATCAGTTGAGAGGCTGGAGAGATGGGACTCGTCACATTCATGAGTTATCATCAAAGCCCAAGCAAGAGACGGCTTCCAATAATGCTGTCTCGAAAGAGAGTAATGCAAAAAAGTGGAGGAAGCGAGGGATTCAGCAGCAGCAAAGGGGGGATGTTTTTAATAGTAAGCAGCAGTTGTGGAGGGCAAGGTCACAACAAAGTTAATGCCTTCTAGCCTCACAGCCCTAAATCATTTTGTTTCTTTGGCCATCTCTTGTAAGTTGTAAGCGTAATCGAGAACCGCCAATTGATGAATGAATGTGCAAGGTTGCCTTCTGCTGCTGCAGCTAACAACAATTTACCCCTGTTCACTCTTTTTGTTTAAAATTGTGAAACAACAGTTATAAAGTTTTTGTTCTACTTCGTGATTGAAATCTAGATATCAATAGCTATATTGGGAACAGCAATACAGCACCAGAAAATCCAATGATATGCTTCATAGGTAAGGTTTCAATATGGTTGGTAAAACAGGGAGAAACAAGCTGGGAACAAAACAAATACAACAAGAGTGAATAAAAGAATGAATCGCTCCAAGTTCCAACAGGTAATTAACTGCAATATACAAGAACTTTAGTTTAATTTGCCCCCAATTTGACAAAATTGATCAAACAAACGTAGTCCTACACTTCACCACGAGCTTGACGTGTAGCTGGCGTTAAAGTCTACAATGTTACACGGCTGTCCCTGTTTATGCTGCAGGATGTCTCAGCTGTTCAGATGTTTTAAACGCATCAGCTTCTGCAACCATTACAGGGGAATCTGTAAACTTCAGGATAATCTGGACCACCAACAATCTGTTGCCATGTCGTTCACTAGCCTCTGTGTGCTAGCAAGACGTAATTCCATTGACTTGTAGTCTCAGCTTTATCTCATCAGTTAACCTGGAGAGATCCTGAGTTCGTTTGTTTTAAGAACGCAGAAGGCGTTTATCACAGACCAGGATCCTATAACTTGCATGTGGTCCCTCAGACGTGTCATGTAATGCTGAATGCCAACCCATAGCATTCGCAATCTCCTGAAGTTCTTCCATGACATCAAGGGTGTCTCGGATATATGCTCGACCACCAGGTCTAAGTATCCGATCCATCTCGAGCATGATTGTAGACATGTTACATCTGACACAAAAGATAAAAGGAAGCACCAAGTCTGAGAAGCAAAAACAGCCTTGAGTATATTCTACAAGAGAAACGAAGCTTGGCAAAGGAAGTTGTCACCTTTTCCTTTCAACAGAAAAAAGCCCAGAAGCATGCAGTAAATCATAAGTTCTCGGGTAGGTGTCAAAAGGCTCACACCTATATACATCACAGGCAACATTGTTACTAAGCTCATCAAGTAAAATAATGAATTAAAAAGAAACCTTATTCAGAGTTTAGATTAGTACCAATCGTGCATAACACCTAGCAGTCCACGATCATATATGACAGGCAGGGTGTTTGGCCCACTAACAGGAACCACATTCATAACCCAGCTATTGAATCCATGATCAATTAGTGCTGCAGCAAATCTATCAGAACAGTGGGATAAACAGCATGATTTTGCATTCAGATAAGTAAAAAAATATCAAGGAAATTAGTTGGAACAAGCATAGGATAGACAGGAAGGATACCCTCCAAAACCGGCCTTCATGTCCAAGACATTTCTGAGTTTAAGCTGCTTCCAATGCCAAGCACGGACATAGCCAGATATAATTTCAGACCAATATTTTGATTCCGCCTTGAAAAGCTCTTTCCTGGAAATGTAAGCATCCATTTGTATACTCTGAAGCCTATCAGGAGGTGTATGTAAACGTGCAGGCCATGCAGTCACATTTGCTCCATATCCATTCTCAGGAATGCGAGTAATGCATGGCTTCAAATCAACATACCTAACACGAAACATGTTCATCAGCATAAACAAGTTAACCATTGGGAACAAGTTAGAAGAAGCAGTTAACATGCAATGGAGGTTTCTATAGATGATCAAATTTGAGCTGCATATAATTCCCAATAAATATCATTCAGTGTATGGTATTTGAAGTTTTTTGCTATAAGTTATTTCCGAAACTAAAGCAATATTTGAAGTCAGAAAGAAATAATACCAAACTTTATCAGGATCATCATCTTGATCACACAATGGAGGACTAACTCCCTCATCTCGGCTTAAATAGCAGCTATTATTCTTGGGTTTCTGCCATATTGCAATATATCCCTCTTTCTTTACAAGCTCCCAGCAAAGGCGAGTTGTAAGGTTAAGCATCTCTGCAAAGAGATACAAAATATATATATAAATATTAACTACACCGGTTCAGTATGAAGGAGACAACAAGGACAGCATGATCATCAGGTAAAGTAATTTGCCAACTCAATTTTAACAAGAATATTACTTCAAGAATATAATAATCACTTAAAACTGATGATTTTTATCTGCTTTCAACTAACTGAGGTGATACCTTCCCACTGTTCCTCTAGCGCTTGCTCATGCTTGTAAACAGGCTGCGCAGCCCAAGCAAAGTATCCTCCAGCTCGCATCATCCTGTTGACCTCAAGTAGCAAAATTCCATCTTCAAAAGAATAGTTAGCATAATCAGAAAATACAACCACTTGAAATTTCTCAATGCAAAGTCAAATAGCTATAAGATTAATATCTCTGGAACTAATGGTGAGATGTGAAACAGATAGAGGAAGCTGACATAGCAAGGTGACCGGCCACAACAAGTTTTTTTAGACAAGTTTTAACATGCACAGAGGCAAATTTACATTGTCATAAGCTAGGGCTAGTACTGCTAGAAGAACACAGACATTGGGAAGAACATTTCATCTTTATTCCTTGGGCTTTCCCACTACAGAAAGAGGCAATCAAAGGATGGGCAGACATACATACCATCACGAGTCCAATTGATTCTACATCTTGAACAATGGATGATTTCGAAGGCCTGACTTGGATACAGCAAACGATGGGTTGCAAAAGCAGCTACCATAGCAGGGACGCCACGCTCAAGAGCAAATTGGATCTGGTTCTCGTGAACATCTTTGGGAGCTATCGACAAAGGTACAACATCCCTTGACAGTAGATATGCACCAAAACTTGCTACACCGCATCCGACATCCAAAACAACTCGTGTGTGATTACCAAAAGCAATATCTGGGACCATCTGCAGAAAAAGAAGAAAAAAACCACATAATCAAAGCTTAGTAGACTAGGAATGTAAACGAATTTTACATTCAAACTAATATTATGAGAGACGACTTAACAGACTTTTGAAATTTGATCCAAGTACTGATCTGCGCCATGAATGAACTGCGTTCCACCACCAGGGAACCTGAACTTGTCCTTGGCTTTGGTAATCCAGTTCTGACCTCCTTTATCATCAACCAAACGTGTGTGGGGTACATTGGAAAACCAGACCTAAAAGAGAAAAGCAAAGTGCTATCAGAATCCTCAGCAAGATAACCAGACCAACCAACTATCATTCCCTATCCTTTTGAGCACCTAACAGCTTCCCAAAATTAAACTCGGCCAACTAAATACAGTGAAAAGGTTCAGAACAGCTCAAATATCGTATATTTTGCCGTCATTTTCCGCCATAGTTTCGGTTCAGCATACCTCATCACGACTCCGGGGCCACGGAAGTGGTTGGCGATACCCTTTGGGCGGCGGAACCAAGCAGTTCAATTCTTTCTCCTTCTCAGGACAATGCCGCTCAAATCTCTCCCCTTTCTCCGTCGATTTCAACTTCTTGATTGCCTCTACATTATCCAAACATGGAATGTACTCTCTCATGCTCTCAGGGCATAGCTCGAATCTCTTAATCTTGGCCCTAGAACCCTCGCCAGCTCCACTGTCGATCTCAGTCTCATTCCCCCAATTCTCCACAACCTCCGGATCAACCTCCCCGACTTCAAAATCATCGCTCATCTTCCCATCCCCATCAATAATGCCAAACGTCCGATCCAATTCCTTCGCCGGAGGCGGAGGAGGCTGCTCCACAGCCGCTGAATCACTCGACGGCGACGTGGAAGCCGGAGGCACGGGCACCTGAGTGGGTTCAGGCTCGGATACGGTGTCGGTCTGATTCTGGGCGATCAAAGCAGTGACATTAAACGACTTGCCGTAGTTGGGGGAGACTCCGACTGAGGTTCCTGGTGAAGACGAGAAGAAGAGCACCTGCTGGTCGCCATTGGAGCTCCAGTGCTTGCCCAGGTAGAAAAAAGTGAGGGTAATTAAAGTGAAGCCAGCGATCTTGAGGACGAGAGGGGTCTTGAAGAGATCCAAACCCGCCGACGCTTTCATGGTGTTGTCTGGGATGGAGGATCTATTCACTTGATCTGTGAAATTTGGTAATGAGTAGCATTGGGTTTGTCACGGGACCGCGATGGCCACGGCGAGGGTGGCGGTGGTGGAGAGTGAGGCGAGCTATGGATTTAGCAGGCAGGATCCGTGGGCTTTGATTTGATGGTGAAGTAGTGACGAAGTAACACTGTTGTGAATTTGTGATTGAGGTAGGAGGCAAGATGAGATTGTTGTTTATGGGTGAAATGCTTTTATGGTCACTTAACTTCTTCTCGGTCAACCGAACGATCACTTAATTTTTTTTTATATTAAAGTCATTGAGCAACTTATCACATTCGTCTCTGGAAAGTTGGTGTGGAGGCGTAAAATCGAACTCATTTTCTACATTTACTCGTTGGAGGAGGTAAGGTAGATGAAAGAGTTCATAGATAAATGGATTACAATTATAACTGAAACAAACCGATTAACATGCTATAAATTAGTTAGAGAACTTGACGGCCTGAGTTCTGGTGCTTAAGCCCAAAAGTTTAAGCAGATGCTTAAACGTCTCCTATTGGCTGGTAGGATTTTAAGTAATTAATAATTAGTTTATGGTTAATAGTAGTTATTTGTAAGTTAAGGGCAATTACGAGATTTTAATCATTTAAAAACTTAACCTAAATAAGAGATACGTTTTAGGTTTGTTTTTTGCCCGTTCGTTTCTCCCTCCCTCAAACTCTCTTCTTCCCGACGGTTTATATTCTCCCTCCCTCCTTCAAGCTTCCGACGGCTGCTGTCGGTCCGTTCGTTTCCAGCCACAGTCTGTAGCCTATTCTTCACTATCGACGAGGACACTGGTCGTCTCGCGACCGTGGTCGCTTCCGGGATACTCCTTTGCGTGTTGGTACAGCTACCGTCGACGTCCACTAGCTATCGCCAGCGACAAGTCCCCAATTTCTTTGTGTCGTCTCGTCCGTCCAGTATCGTCGATTGCTATTTTCTTAACATGTCCAGTTTGGCGGTGAACACGTAGTCTCGTAGTGCGTCCAGCTACCGTCGATTTCTTTTGTATTATACTATTTTCATGCATTATACGTTGCATGTTTAGAGTTTCAAATTCCGGATTTGCATAGCATGATTGGTAACTTGCTTTCGTTGAATTATTAATAAATCGTTTGGTAATTGTTAATTTTATTTCATGCTTTTATTCGTTGCACGATTAGATATTCAAATTCGGAATGGTCCGATCCTTGGTCCTAACATGTCTTTCACTAATGGACCGCGGTTCTCATGAGTTTAGTCCGGTTCGGACGGAACCAAACCGTTGCACACCCCTACAAATTCCGAACCTCACAACATCATTTTTTTTTTTTGATCGAAACCTGCATTCAGCTTTATTCAATTTCAGTAGGAACTCTGTTGTCTATTACAAGCTGATCAAGCAGATTCAGCGGGGGTCTATCAAACCAAACTTCCGCTCTATTGCATCGAGTCATCGTATGGGCCATTAAATGTGCCGCCTCATTAGCCGTCCTCCTCACATGCCGAAGACTTCCATTTGCTATCCCTCCCATCAGATTCCTTATATTTCTGTAAACAATCCCAACTTCCAGCTCCACTTCCATCGTTCCATTTAAGCTGTTCACCACCGTTAGGCAGTCGGATTCCACGATCGGTGCTGCGATATGGTGCTGTCGAATCAGTTGAAGTCCAAACTCCACTGCCAGTGCTTCCCCCATTGTTGGATCTTTAATGTCCCTCATCCTCTTAGCTGCTGCCAAGACAAAGTTCCCTGCATGGTCTCGTACCACAACTCCCAAACCCACTCCTTCCGCATCCAAGCCCGCATCCACATTCACTTTCATATGTCCTGGCGGCGGCCGCTTCCACTTTGCCACCGTAGCAGGTTCTTGCGGCTGGACGTCCTTCATTTGGTTCTGTCGATACTCCTCCAGGTAGGTGATCGCTCGGGGAACTATCTCTGCTTCCTCCATCCTCTTCCCATTAAACATGTGTGCATTTCGTTCTCTCCAGAGCGACCATAGCAGCACAATCAAATCCTCCAACTCACTCACCGAGACCCTGTCCACAACCTTCCTGACCCAATCCATACAGCTAGGACCCGAGCACATTTCAAAGCAATGCGCGACCGAGGAGGTGCGCCATAGTCTGCTAACCCAGGAACATGCATGGAAAGCATGGAATTGGGTTTCCTTCTGGTCACAAAACGGACACCCATCACTGCGATTTGGATTTCGTCTACTAACCTTCTCGCCCGTTGCCAGTGCCTCTCGAGTGAACTTCCACATAAAAACCTTTATCTTCGGTGGCACATTAAGAGACCAAAGAAGCTTCCACAGCCCTGGATCCCCCACACTCCTATCCCCATCTTTTTCCTGGAATTTCTTCAGCCAAGTCCTATACCCCTCACGAACGGTGTAACGGCCATCCCTACTCCCCGCCCAAATGAGCTTATCCTGTTCGGTCGGGTTTCGCAAGGGTATTTGGCGGATCGCCTGAACCATGTCCGTCGGGAAACAACTTTCTAGGACATTCTCATCCCACATCTCTTCATCCTCATCCAACAAATCCCGAACTACTGCGTCAACCAGTAAACCCATCGGCGGTGACTGAACAATGAAATCTTTCGTAGACGGGACCCAGCGGTCTCCCCAGATCCTAACCGATGCTCCATTCCCAATTCTCCATCTTAAACCATCAACAAGGAAATCCTGCGCACTCATAAGACTACGCCATACATAGCTTGCCCGGTACCCAATGCGAGCATCCAAAATCGAGGTATGCTTGTGGTACTTGGCTTTCATAATGCGTGCCACCAAGGAGGTCGGGCGTTGCCAGAGATTCCAAACCTGCCGAGCCAGCATAGCCTGGTTGAACCCTTTCAAGTCACGCAGCCCCATGCCCCCCTGCGCCTTCGTACACATCAGTCCCTCTCTCGCCACCCACGCTGTCTTCCTCTCCTCCCCGCGCTGTCCCCACCAGAATCGAGTTATCATCCCCTGCACTTCTTCAAGAATCCCATCCGGAATTTTAAACACAGACATTGTATAGGTGAGTTGCGCCTGTGCCACTGACTTAATCAACACTTCTCTCGCTGCAGCTGACATCGCTTTCTCCTTCCAACCCGACAACTTCTTCCGAACACGATCTTTCAGGAAGGTAAACAGATCCTTCTTCGATCTACCCACCTCGGTGACTAAACCCAGGTATTTATCATGTTTTTCCACTACCTTCATCCCCAGCACTGAGCTAACCATGAGTCGCTGGTGAGATTTCACATTCCCTCCAAACGTCACCTCCGATTTCTCCAGGCTGACAAGCTGGCCCGATTCCCGTTCATAATCCGCCAGTACCTTCCTTAATTCACGCCCTTCCTTTTCCGTAGCTCTAGCAAAAAATATAGAATCGTCAGCAAAGAAGAGGTGGGATATAACCGGTGCCCCCCTAGCCACCGACAATCCATGGATTCGCTTCTGTCTCACCGCCAGAGATGTATAACTCGACAGCCCCTCTGCAACCAAAAGGAAGAGATATGGAGATAGTGGATCTCCCTGCCGGAGACCCCGACTAGGAACAAAAGTTTGTGATCTATGTCCGTTAACAAGGACTGCATACGTAACCGAGCGGACACAGAGCATTATCAGCCTGATCCAGCCTTCCGCAAAACCCATTTTTCGCATAACCCCTTCCAAAAACCACCATTCCACCCTGTCATACGCCTTGGCCATGTCCGTTTTTGCCGCTAGATAACCCGTCTTATTTTTGGTCTTTTTCTTCATAGTGTGAAAACACTCAAAAGCTGTCATAACATTATCTGCAATGAAACGGCCCGGGACAAAAGCACTCTGTTCCGGAGAAACAATCTTATCCAAAATGACCTTCAGTCTATTCGCCAAGGCTTTCGACAGAATCTTGTACATAACGTTACATAGGCTGATCGGACGGAATTCTTTTGCCATCTTTGGCTCCTTGACTTTGGGGATCAGGGCCAGGATAGTGTGGTTTAGCTCCTGCGGCATCATTCCATTCTCAATCACACCCATCAGCATCTCCGTCACTTCGTCCCCCACTATGTGCCAATAGTTAAGAAAGAACAGCACGGACATGCCATCGGCACCAGGTGCCTTTCTCTTCCCCATCTGCCGAAGAGCATCGAACAATTCCTCCCTGGTAATCGGCTTAAGAAGTCCTTCATTCATCTCAGCATTTACTCTCACCTCCACTGAGTCCAGTACCGGCGTCAGCTCCGGCCGAGGTCCTGCAGAGAAGAGGTTCACAAAATAATGCATAAAACACTGTAAAACATCCTCAGTACCTCGCCACCATGCCCCCGACTCATCCATTAATTTCCTCACTGTGTTTCTTCGTCGCCTCGAGCTGGCCTTACGGTGGAAAAAGCTGGTATTCTTATCGCCACCCCTCAGCCAGTCAGTGCGAGAACGTTGGGCCCAGTAGATCTCCTCATCACTTTCAAGTTCCTCTAGCTCCTTCTGTAGCATTAGTCTCTGTTCCAGGACCTCAGCTGTCTTTTCTCTGTACTCGAGGGCCCTCATAGCCCTTCTAATCTTCTCCTTTCTCCTTCTGAAATTAGGAAAAGTGGCTTTGCTCCAATGGTCCAAAGTGGATTGAACCTTTTTTAGTTTGGAAATTGCGTCCCCAGTCTCCGCCACCCATGCTTCCTTCACCTTCTCCCCACACTCTTCATGCTTCACCCAAAGCGGTTCGAAACGGAAGGACCACCCCCATTTGATCTCCTCGTCTTCATCACCCAAGGTATCGCAGACAATAGGACGATGATCCGATCGCGATTGATCCAGGTGTAGAACCCGAGCCCTAGGCCGCACGTTCCACCAACCTTCATTCACAAGAAACCGGTCTAATCTCTCCTCAATATACATGCCCGTTCGACGTCTGTTCTCCCACGTGAAAGGGTAGCCGTGGAAACCCAAGTCCTTGAGGCCTGTCTCGGTCAAACAATCCACGAACGCCCCCATCTCCTCTTCCCTGCCCAAGTTCCCGCCTTTCTTTTCCTCATCCGAAAGGATTTGGTTAAGATCACCCCCACAGATCCATGGCCCATCCCAGACAGTAGCCAAGTCGCGGATCAACTGCAACGTACGGTTCTTATCCCGACTCTCAGGCCAGCCATAGATTCCAGTAAATCTCCAGACCTCATCCTGCGCCTCCCCTACTCTTAGATCAATGTGATTAGGCGAGTCCCCCATCACCATCGCCTGCACATCCTCTACCCACCACATCGATAGGCCTCCTGCTCGACCCCCTCCTGACACATCACATGGCCAACTACTTCCATTTTTGAAACCTAATTCCAGCCGAGTTTTTTCATTTTCGTCCCGAAGTTGCTTGGTCTCCATTAGAAAAACAACCTGGGGGGAAGCTTGTCGTAATAACGACCTTAACGATCTAACTGCACGGGTGCTTCCCAGACCCCTACAGTTGTAGCATAAGAGCCTCATTTATTACCCAAAGGGGATCGGTTCCCCGCACCATCAGCTGTTTTTTGGGACACATTTCCCCCGGGTTCCTTGTGGGACTTAGATTGCGGACCTCCCCCCTTCTTCTGCTCCTTCTTCTTTCCTTCCTCCCCCTTCTCTCTATTCAGAGATCCTTTCCCCTTCATAGCCTGCCCCGTAGGGCTCTTCCTTGGATCAGTAATGTGTGGCTGCTTCTCATGCATCTGGGTCTGAGAGCTCGAGGCCTCTTTAACTGTTAATTTTGGCGACTGTTGCCCATCATGCATCGTGTTCGGGGGGCCAACGGGTGCCACAGTGTTCATTAAATCATTATTAATTATTCCTTCCAAGTTTGCATGTTCCTGTTCACGTATCACCTTCCCAACCGTTCCTTCCTCCTCATTATTATTTATTGCCACTGTTTCCACTTCCTGTACTTCCTCCGCCAACCCTTGGAATCTATTTATGTTGGTCTTTTCTTCCATCTTCCTTCCATTCTCCGTTCTGGTCGGACCCCTTCCCCTGGGTTTTACCTTCATCCATTCTCCATATACCTTCCCTTGAGTGGGATCCTCCTTCTCGACTGGGTTCTCGACCGGGGAGTCCTCCGTCTCCATTTCCGTCTCTCTAGGTACACACTGGCACCTTCCCGTAGACTTCCCATACGTTCCACAGTTCGTACAGAGATCCTCTAAGCCCTCGTACTGGACCAAATACTTAACACCCTCTATCCTGAACTGAGATGTCAGTGGCTGAGTGAGGTCAACTTCAACGCAAACCCGAGCATACTTTCCTCTAGCCCCAAGCTCCGTCGCCCTATCCACCCTCACCGCCTTGCCCAAATATCCACCTATCTTCATAGCCGCCTCCTTGTTAATGAATTCAATAGGAAGTTCGGGGAGTTGAGCCCACACCATCGTTGATGTTACTTCTGTTTTCCATGGGTTGAAACCCTTGAACCACCGATGAACAGTAAGGTACGTCTCACCCAGCATCCAGGGGCCACCCATTGTTGCCCATTCATAGTCCTTCTGGCTTCGGAAACGAACAAGAAAGCACCCATTCTTCATATCAGATATCTGCAGGTCCCCATGCTTCGCCCATAGAGAATGGAGTCGACGCGCCAAAGGAATGTATGGGACCCTCTTCCCCAGACCCTTCACCACAAGAGCAGACCTCCACTCCCTACGCCACCTAATCTTTTCCGCTGCCGTGAACAGAATTGTTGGACACTTAGGGTCCTCCTTCTCAGCATCAAACTCATCATCTTCCTCCCTCTCCATCCCCGCTACGTCCTCAGAATCCGACTCCGCTATATACCATGAGTCTTGTTGCAAGATGTCCCTGAAGCTTCTTTCTTTCCTCCCATGATCTACTGGCGACTTCGGCCTCTCTCCCTTTTCCATGTCCATCTCAGCAGCCGTATCCACACCATTCTTCCGGCCATCCGCATCGAAGTTCAGTGACCTAACTCTCTTCTTGGCCTGTACCGATTCGGTCGAGCTCTTCCCGTCCGGGGAGGAGGATGCCTCAGCCGGTCTTCTTATCCCGCTAGTGCTGTCCGGCGGTCTCTCATGTCCCGTCGGCAGGGCCGACGGCTGATGCGCCGCCATGAAAAAACCAAAACCCTAAAGGTCGCGCGCGAGATCGCTCAATCGTCTACTCCGGAAATCTCGGAGCAACCTCACAACATCATTAGTAACGCTCTTTCGTTGAATAATCAATAAATCTAAGGGTAGTTTTTAATTGTTATGGATTGCGTCGGACGGGACACGGGACCAGGAACGTCGGATGGTAGAAACGGCCGGATGTGGTTATGGCTACGGCGGAATTCCAGATGACGGTTTTGGCGGACGGGAGGTAGAAAGACATAATGGTTTAGGGTTTTATTTTATTGGGTTTCTCTTTCTATTAACTAGTAATTTTTTTTAATACCTAGTTTACCCTTAATAACAAACTAACTAATTACCTTCCATAAACCAACTGAAAGCCTTTTAGCCAATAAGAAAGCTTTAAGCATTTTGCTTAAGCTTTTAGGTTTAAGCACAGGATCCTACCCGGAACTTGACCAAAAAACAATAATTTTGTTAGGTATTCATAATTTTGACGATTAAGTATTTTCCCATAAAAGTTTAATAATTATTTAATAAATAAAGTGTTAGGATCAGTGACAAACCCAAAAACTTTATTAAGGATATTCAATATTATACATAAATCATTAAGAATTGTCAAACAATATAGTGTCTCAAATCTCAATACTATCACCATTAAAATTAATTTTTACAATGTTTTTTTTACCAATTGTGGATCTAAGAATTGCCAATTAATAACCCTTTCACTAGCTTGGGTTCGCCCCTGGCCATGATTAGAGGTGTAGATCGGATTGATTCATACTGAAACGCATTGGATCAAATCAAATCATATCAAACAAAATATAATGTGATTCAATTCTCGATCACATAAACTTTGTAAACACAAAAGAAAAATGGACACAATTAATATATGGAATGGACCAAATCAGACTAAAAATATTGTTGATTCGATCTTTAATTGTAAAATATTTTCACTAATTGATCGCAAGTGTCATGATTTTGGTCAAGTACAAATAGTAAATTTGTCAAAATGCCGAGTTATTTATTAATAATAGGTAATAGCCCAGTAATTATTTATTAAGTTTTTTTTCCTCAGAATTTGTTTATTAAGTTGACCCGAGCAACAAAACAAGTAATCTTGGAGAAGAAAGTAAAAACCGACTCGAACCCGCAACCCGGCCACTTAAAACCACACCACCACCTCCATAGTCCATTCAATCGACGCCACCGGCCTCCGAACCGTAGCCCCCATTTCCCCCATTTTTTGGCATTTCTTTGCGAAGATTCCACCCTGTTTTTCTTCGTTGTCGCCGCTCCGGCCGTTGAATTTCCTCTCCGGTAATAATTCGTTCCTCCTCTTTCATAATTGCTCGCCCTAATTCGTCGGGGTTACCTCTCAATTTCTTCCTTTTCCAACACTCTACCCGATTTCGCGTCATGCGCTCATTTCTAGGGTTTGCTTCCGCTTACCCCACTGTATGAATTGAATCCGGCCGTGCTATTGTAGGTTCGAGAAAATTCGTTGAAAGTTTTGGCGGAAATTCCATGTCCCTCCTTTGATGCAGTTGGTATTGGTGTAAAGTCTGAAGCTTTGGACTGGAGGTCGGGGCGTTGTTGTGTTTATAGTCGCGTGGAAAAAGCATACCCCGCAATTCAGGCGCAAAATGTCTGATACGGCTGAAATGGTGGATGAGTTCAAGCCCGAGTTCGAGAAGGAGCCATCTTGCTCGAAGTCGGTGAATGAGACGGTGAATGGGTCGCACCAGTTCACCATAAAGGGGTATTCTTTGGCGAAAGGTATGGGGTCCGGAAAGTGCATTTCCAGTGATATTTTCACGGTGGGTGGCTATGATTGGGCGATTTACTTTTACCCGGATGGCAAAAACCCTGAGGATAGCTCCATGTACGTTTCGGTGTTCATTGCCTTGGCCAGTGATGGTACAGACGTTAGGGCGTTGTTTGAGTTGACGTTGTTGGATCAGAGCGGGAAAGGGAAGCATAAGGTGCATAGCCACTTTGATCGTGCTCTGGAGAGCGGGCCATATACATTGAAGTACAAGGGGAGCATGTGGTAATGTGCTTCTTTCGTCATTGTGTTTTGCTTTGATATTCAGTAGTTAGCAAGCTGTGATAATGTGACAGGATGTATTAATAATTTGCTATCATTTTAGTGTAACTGTGGGCATGTGCATTTGTTGTTATTCAATTGTTGAAACCTTGTTCTGAGATCAATGCAGGCTCATATAATATCGTCATTGTTGGACTACAGGGGTTATAAGCGTTTCTTCAGGAGAACAAGTCTAGAAACTTCAGATTATATAAAGAATGATTGCCTCATCATGAACTGCACCGTTGGCGTCGTTAGAACTCGTCTTGAAGGACCCAAGCAGTATTCTGTTATTGTTCCCCAATCCAGCATGGGTCAGGGCCTTAAGGAAATCCTGGAAGCTGAAGTTGGTTGTGACATTGTGTTCCGTGTTGGCGATGAATCATTTAGAGCTCATAAGTTGATCCTTGCTGCACGATCACCAGTTTTTAGAGCTCAGTTCTTTGGACTAGTAGGGGATCGTAACTTGGATGAGGTTACAGTGAATGATATTGATCCCACGATCTTCAAGGTACCCTCTGGTTTCTGGCCTCTATTTATGGTTCAGAATACTAGTCTGATTGGACGTGAGGCACCACTCTAACTTCTCATTTGAATTCATATGGAAAAATTATGCATCTATGTGTATCCATGTATGTTGACCTGCTGCGGCCTGTGGTAAATCTAACTTAAACAGAATACCAGGAGAAAGATTTTATATGAATATCATAATGCTGCCCGGTACCATTTGCAGCAATCTTTTGTTGTTGCTTTGCATTTCTTTTGGAACTGGATTGTATTGTACATGAGTACTGGTCTTAGTAGTCGTTTGAATGCCTTAAACAGCCTATTAGCATCTGGCTGCAAAAGTATGGACATCGTCGGTTGTAGGCTTGTAACAACTGTTTTGTCTCCTATTGGCTCATGGATGCCCTTTTGTGTTTGATGCCAGAATCTGTTCTCTCTCTCAGTTTCTCTGTCCTTTGCTCTTATTTCCTTTGTCACTAGGTATATATACCATCCTCTATTTACATAATGCTTTTATGCAGGCAATGCTCCTGTTCATATACACAGACAAAATTCCTGAAGTGCATGATGTTATGGATTCTTCTTCATCCACGGGCACATCTACCAACATGATACAGCACTTGTTAGCTGCTGCCGACCTGTACAACTTAGATCGTTTGAAAGTGCTATGTGAATCAAAGCTATGCGAGGAGCTCACGGCTGTATCAGTAGCCACAACACTGGCATTGGCTGAGCAGCATCAGTGTGCGCAACTCAAAGCTGTCTGTTTGAAATTCGCGGCCAATCCAGCAAACTTGGGAGGTGCGTGTTCTTCGTAGGGCACTGAACAGTACAAGTTTCAGGTTATGTTAACTCCATCGTTTTGCAAGTAGATGCGATCTCTACATTTTTTCTATAGAGCATTATGCTTAGCTTATTAAAACTATTGTTATCTTGGAATCATTGGAATGGTATGATTCTGCATTCACTGATACTTCATCTCACCTCTTTCTGAAAGGCCATAGAACTACATACTGTGTTTTTCTGGTACTGGTATGCGTACCATAGTTGTTTATACTTGAAATGCACTTTTTATTTCATCACTGACTGTTTGTTCCAGCAAGAGGATAGGCCATGATATTAGGTCTTTTGCTATGATAGTGCCCTGCGGAGTTGTTAAAAGCAGAAACGAAAAGAAACTATTATTGAAACAAAGAATGCTTTAAATGACTTGTTATATGGCAATCTGCGCCACTGTCGTGTTTAATATCTTGTGCACGAGTAGCTCCGCCATGGATCATTATCCTTAGGGATACTGAAAGTACCGTGAAGAATATGTAGTTTTAGATGATATCGAGAACATATCCAGGTACACGATACTGTTATGTGGGGGAGACTTTATGCCCAGTAGTAAAAGCATATATTGTGGTAGTATGTGGGGCATGTCTATATCCGCCTGATGAATCACTGATATACATGAGCCGTGTGTTTGTGTATATATCTGGCAGTGGTGACACAATCTGAAGGCTTCAGACATTTGGAGCAGAGTTGCCCGGCATTAGTGTGTGAATTGTTGAAGACACTTGCCTCAGCTGATGAGGACTCAAGCATGCATCCTAGCAGGAAGAGAGGAGGGAGCAGCATATTCGGCTTAGATATTGCTGCAGCGGGGGAAGCAGCAGATGATGGGGGTATGGCAGAATCTAGTAATCCGAACATGAGGCGCGTGAGGAGACGGTACTAGACAGGCATGCATACGACCTATATATAGCTTAAATTGGGGAAGTTGTGGAGATTGTGAGATCCCTTTAACTAACTGGCACTAGTACTTTACCTAGGTTGGGCTGTGTTTCTTTGTATTTTGTTGCAAGTTTGTGGCCTGGGGGTAGTTCATGGCTTTTGAGCCAGGATATGTGGAATTGTAGCAGCATGACATTTTCGTTGTAATGTAACGTCCTCTTTGTGAGCCACTTGAGTCTTCAGTTCTTTGCAGGTAGCAGTATGTTTGATTCTGGTCTCTGGAACCAAGTTTTACTGTTCACTATCGTACCTTGAACCGAGTCAAAGGGTTTAGCTTCCATAGAAGTCGTTACTTGAGCTAGTGACCCACCCAAGCGGAGCCCATAGGCGTGGCCCAATAACGATGCTTGGAAGACTCAAACCACACCGGCAAAATAAACCAATCTAGTTGTCCAGGACTGAGGCGGCCCCTCTGAAGTCTGAACTCCGAAGAAGAAGCCATATCTCGACTCCTTCTGTGATTAGGAATCAGTGCACAATGAAATCAAACAAAGAGTCCAAAGGAGACGGATTACTTGCCGGTATTTCAAGTTTGTATTGGTGTCGAACTCTGCAGTCCAGCTATATAACCGAAAATTTCCCTTTTTCTCACACCGTCACACGAAACACCTTAACCACAGTTCATTCGATCATGGAGTGGGAGAAAGATCCATGGAGTTGCTCTTGCTCCTCCAAGTCAGTAATCGAGACGGTGACTGGGTCGCACGAGTTCATTGTAAAGGGTTATTCTTTCGCGAAAGGTATGGGAGTGGGGAAGTGCATGTCCAGTGATATTTTCTCTGTGGGTGGTCATGACTGGATCATCCGCTTTTACCCGGATGGGCAGAAACTCGTCGATGGAAGCTCTAAATCTGAGTACTTTTCGGTGTGCATTGGTTTGCTCAGCGATGTTGGTGATACGGGCATTAGGGCCTCGTGTGAGTTTACGTTCTTGGACGAGAGTGGGAAAGAGATACTAAAGAGATTGTCCGGCCGGCCATCCCCTATAAAGAAAGGATGCGAGTGGTAATGTGTTCATTAATCAATGCGTCCATCAAGAAGCTGCTCTGATGACCTCATGAATTCTTGAAAGCTTGCTTTTTCAGTTGAATGTCAAGCTCGTATTGTTGTCTGTCGTTGTTGCAATGCCAGGGTTCTAGAGATGAAGGAAGCAAATCAAGCAAGCAAGTGTGTACAAAATGATTGCATCATCATTCGAGGCACTGTTCGATTTCTTGCGAATCGGCATGAAGAAGTTGAAGGGGCCAAGCAGGGTTCCATTACCGTACCCGACTTCAACTTTGGCCAGGGTTTCAAGGAGCTACTGGAATCTGAAGTTGGTTGGGACATTGTGTTCCACGTTGGCGATGAAGCATTTAGAGCTCACAAGTCGATTCTTGCTGCGCGATCCCCTGTTTTCAGAGCCCAGTTCTTTGGACCAGCAGGGGATCCCAACTTGAATGAAGTTACAGTGGATGATATTCTTCCCTCCATATTCAAGGTGACCTTATGCCCTTCTCTGTAGGCTTGCATTTTGTTATGCTTTCCTTATACTGTCCCCTCTAATTTGCAGGCGATTCTCCGATTCATATACACAGACCAACTTCCTGATGTGCATGATATTGTTGGCTTCTCGTCATCCTCGTCAGTTGCTGCCAACATCACACAACACCTGTTAGTTGCTGCTGACCTCTACAACTTGGACAGGTTGAAGGTGTTCTGTGAATCCAAGTTATGCAAGGAGCTTACCGCCGTATCGGTGGCCACGACACTAGCATTGGCCGAGCAGCATCAGTGCGCACATCTCAAAGCTGTCTGCTTGAAATTTGCAGCACATCCAAAGAACTTGGGAGGTAAACGTCTGCTGTTAGTTCGTAGGGGCACTTCACAGTTCATGTTTCCTAAGTTATGTCCATTTTCCCTATATTTGTTTGCTGGGATATATACAAGAGAGCTATGGATATTTGCTATAGAACTGAACCCTCAATTCAGCTTTTTAAGTAGTCAATTGATCATGGAAAGTAATATATGTTAGCCTCTGCATGACAGTGGTGATGAAATCAGAAGGTTTCAAACATTTAGAGGACAGCTGCCCGGCATTGTTGCGCGAGTTGCTGAAGACGATTGCATCAACAGATGATAGTGGGGCTAGGGCCAGGCCTTGTCGCAGTGAACCGCTTTGGCCGTCCAAACAAACTGCACCGCAAAGCTTGTGGTCTGAGATGTGGTCAACTTTTAGTGTGGTTTTCGATTTGTGGCGGTTCTAACTGGAACCACGCAGTTTAAACTTTTATAAGAATTTCACTCACTGAAGAATAATAAGCGGAATCGTCAATAGTGCAAATAGATGAGACACTATAAATCGATGGTGGGCCTTGGTGATCGGGGAATTCCATTGACGATGGTGTATGAGAATTAACGGTTAATCTTGGGGTCAATTGCGTTGCAAGTGGAAAATTTTAATTTTTGACGTTTTAAGTTTTTTATTAGAATTATGGGTCATCAATGTAGACGTTCAAACGTATTGTCAATCCAATCATACACGGTTCATATTAATTGGGATGACACACATAAAAATTGGGATGACCATGTATGTTTCGGGAGCCACCGGTGACGAGATTTGAGGAAGAGAGACCAAAGTTGACAAAGTGGTTTATACCGTTGTGCTAGACATGGATGGCAACGGGTCGTAGTAGAATAGTGCATATTTATTATCCTACCAGAAATAGTTTGGATTTTACTCATACTCATGCCCTATATAAGAATAAAGTAGAACCATTTATACCCGACCGAGTTTCGGATATTCAAGATTATCTATGAAAAATAATATGTTAACAATGACACGCATACTGGCATTAGATAAGTGAACAATTACTAAAATAAATTATTAACTGAAGAAATTTAGTTAAAAACAATACAATTCATGAAAATATTATATATGTATGATAAATATAAAATATTTTGAGAATTTAATGATAATTTTTAAACAAAATATATATGCATGTGTATATTCGGAAAGGTTTGGGTTGGATAGTGTGAAGACCATGCCCATCCATCACCCACAATTTTCGGGTTCGGATTTTACCCATAATCATAAAGAATCTTCTAGGTTCAAATTTATCCACACGATTAAGTTGGATTCGACAGAGTATCCACGAGTATGATTATTTTTGACATACCTATCGTCAATTCAAAAATTGAAAATATGTAGAAGTGTGAAAAACCATTAACATCAAATAAATTTAGTCATATTTAAAGATGTTTGAAGACAATTTATTCACAATCCACATTCATATTTAAATAAAATACTAAATTCTAAATAAAATAACAAATACTCATATTTAAATACAACAAATAACCTAAATTTGTAACTTCTAAATTCATAAAATAAATAATTAAAGTAACTAAAAAAATTATTTTACTTAGAGTTCGTAATACATGTCATATCAGTGGTGTTCATACTCGTTTTATAATCAAAACCGTTTGAACCAGCCGACATTCACTGGCGTAACGTATTAGATCAAATTTAGGAGAATCGCGACCTAATAGTGAAAGATATCTTACAAAAAGAGCTAGACAGCCACGCGTCGCGGTGTCTACAGCTACACTCCATCTCCCATTGGGGCATGAATACATGATGCTGAAGTCCTCAAGTTTCCAGAAACTTCCAACTCCTGGCCAGAATTCTCCGCTGAATCTACCGGCTGAAACTACTACACGTGTCCACCCTACCACGTCAGCATCCGACGTGGCGTGCCAATTTCGCGGAATTTGATACGCCCCTGCGCCGTCCCCTCGCCCCTCCTCCTCTACCTTTTTCCGGTCTATTTTGTCTTTCAACTCGATGAATTCACCAAATCCACCGCCCAAAACATCTTTTAGGTCTCCGGCAGCTCATCCCGATTTCCTCGTCGTCTTCTAATTCCCTACTACTTCCTTCCCTTCCCTTCCCTTCCCTTCCCATTTCCCTTATCTTCTCTGTTCGGCGATGAATGGGGAAGGAAGAGAGGACGAAACTGCAAAGGACAAGGATAAATTGGTATTCATGTGCGGCTATCTTCCCGGAGCTCTGCCTGAGCGGTCGCCTATTTCCTCTCCCGTCGTTGTAAGGTCCGAGGGCTTCGGCTGGAAGGATGTATGTGGCGGCGGTTGCGGGTTCGCAATGGCCATCTCAGGTGCTTCTTCGTCCATCTGCCTTTTCTTCCTTGTTCCTTACTCTCATTTCCTTTTGTTTCTCTGCTCTATTCTGAGTTGTTGGATTCTCGAAATGGCGTTTGACTGGACCAGTTTTCGGAGTTGAATTACTTCGGCCATTTTGTTTATGGTACTTTGCGATTTAGCAAAGAATGGCAATGCTATGACTAGCTGATGCTAGCTGAAAGATGTTCACTTTTACACATTTCCGAGTAGTTAGGCTTCCTCTGTATATTGGAAGGTTCTCAGAGAACCACGAAACAACAGTTGATTCATATGGGCCTAGTGACATCCCTGGCCTTGCTAAAAGTTTGCTTCTTTTACGTCTTGGGAGAATCCTGGGGACACCTGCTAAACTGGGATTGTCGAAATAGTTCTGAGTTCGCTTAAACTCTATGTAATTCCTGCCTAGGTGACCTGAGCTTTTTAACCTTACTTCCTGGAACCAATTTACTGGCTCTCAATCCCAAACTTGCTCTGCCATCCCCGAGAAGCAGCTATCTTGACTCCTTCAGCCAGATTTTAGTAGCCCAGTTGAGTTATTTGGTTCCTTGTTTCCTACAACTAAGTGCCCTAACAGATTGTCCTTTTAGACTCTGGGAAGCTTATTACGTGGGGTTCGACAGACGATCTTGGTCAATGCTACATCACAGCGGGAAAACATGGGGTAAGGCTTCGTCTTGCGTCATTCTGGAGTTACAATTTCCGGGACCTTTCTTTGGCTTGTTTGTTAGAGAGCTGAACTCCCTCTCTTGTTTCCCTATCACATTTTTTGTCCGCAAAGGAAATCCCCGAGCCATTCCCTGTTCCAACTGATTCTGCCATCATAAAGGCTGCAGCAGGCTGGGCTCATTGTGTAGCTGCTACAGGTACCACACATGTTTTTGTTTTTCTATATCTAAAATGACTTGTCTCCAAGGTTCAAGCCCTTGTGCGTTGGATGTTCTTCTCCTTATTGTCATTAGCTCAACTCCTTGGAGTTGGTACTATGTATGTTCTTCTGGTCTGTACAAAAATAGGGGTGCCACAGAGTTGTCTCGTCCTTCAGTTTTGTGGTTTCTGAACATCTGACCACAGGCTCGGTTAAGTCTGTTTTTGCTTCCTCGAGCACAGATGTTGGGGAGGTTTATACGTGGGGATGGAAAGAGTGCATTCCTTCAGGGAAAGTATTTGGAGACCCGTCTGCCTCCAGAAGATCGGAAAAGGACGTTTCAGAAAGACCAGGTCCATCTGACTTGGAACAAGGTAATAAATATAAGATGAGCGATTGACTCATGTGGATATACAATGTGGCTAGTCGACTGATCTTCGTTTGTATCAGTGAGCCCTCGTCCCCAAGCTGCCAAATCCAGAGGCGGGAAATCAGTTGCAGATGAAAGTGCGAAACGGAGAAAAGTATCAGGAAAACAGACATCTGAACCCTCATCTTCTGGGAATGAGTTGTTATCAGCAGTGCCTTGCTTGGTTACACTTAATCCAGGAGTAAGGATTGTCACTGTAGCTGCTGGAGGCCGCCATACTTTGGCACTTTCAGGTATTTCCTTATCACCCATGGAATGTGTTCTGCGCCAGACTTTGTGGCTGTGGTATCTACAGTATTAAACACCGTATATGAAGCTTGTAGATATGGAAGCTCTTGAAATGAGAAACAAGATTCTCGAGGTATCCTAATTTTCTCAAAGTCTTCAGATATAGGACAGGTATGGGGTTGGGGATATGGAGGTGAAGGCCAACTTGGCTTGGGCTCCAGAGTCCGAATGGTGTCGTCTCCACATCCTATACCCTGTATAGAATCTTCTCAGGGGAGAGATATATCTGGGGGCTATTCTCGAGCTGGCATGACTTCAGAGGGCCAAACATTTCGAGTTGTTGGAAATTATATTAAAGCAATAGCCTGTGGTGGCCGGCACAGTGTTGTTGTCACGGGTATGATTATGATCTTTTGTTTGCATCTAGCTGAATCATATAGTCTACTGCAGTACCTTGATTTGCCTGTATAGCTTTAGTCTATGTGATGATTCCCATCTAAAGTTGCTGCTTCCACAGATGCTGGAGTATTGCTCGCTTTTGGGTGGGGACTCTATGGGCAGGTACTTATACGCTTTGCTTTTCCTACTCTTTAGAACTTCACTTTGAAGTTCTGGTCCTTCTGACTATCGATCCTTTATTATTCATGCATCTCGGATGTGTGACTTAATAAGATCTTTGGATGCTAACTCTATAATGTCAACATAGCTAAAGTAAATTATTGACCAACTCTTGGAGGGTTGATCTTTTGGCAGCTAGATATGCTGGGATTAAGTTGATCTCCCCTCCCCATCTTATGCCTATTTTTACTTTCTACATAGATTGCAGTGCTGCTAAAGTTTTTAACTCTGAACCGTCATTTTGTTCTACTCAAATTGGCTGGCTAAACATTCGTTGCCAATGTGTTTGATGCTGTTGTCAGATGAAATTGTAGGTAAGCTGAAATTGGTCACGATCAAAAAGCAATTGTTGAAGTTGGGAGATGATGTCCACTCTAACAAGAGATAACTACTACTCTTTTTATCTTCTTCAATCTTCATTAGTATTACTCATCCCCGCTATTAGCTTTTGATTAAGAGTGTCTTCTCTCAAACGATGTAGCACAGTAGCAGTACTTAATACCCTTTATATCTGTCACATGTATTTTCCTCCAGTGTGGACAAGGTAGCACTGATGATGAGCTGAGTCCAACCTGTGTATCTTCCATGCTGGGAATTCGGATGGCAGCCGTTGCTGCAGGGCTGTGGCACAGTATTTGCGTTTCGGATGATGGTGATGTTTATGCGTTTGGTGGGAACCAATTCGGGCAGCTGGGAACTGGTGTTGACCAAGCAGAGGTAGGGTACCATTAGCCGCCTTCCATTTCATGTAGTCTGTGCTGCCGCCATCAGCCTTGACATTTAACTGCTTTTTTTTTGAGACAGACAATCCCCAGGCTATTGGATGCTCCAAGTCTGGAAAACGAAAACGCGATGACAGTCTCTTGTGGCGCTCGTCACAGTGCTGTAGTAACCGGTACGTAAACTGAACACGATCACCCATCATTCCTGCTAGTCATGAACATTCAACTGACCATTTCAACTTGGCTGCCGTTGAAGTGGATGGGAAAGTGTTCTGTTGGGGCTGGAACAAGTACGGCCAGCTCGGACTGGGCGACGTAATTGACCGCAACATTCCTTCTCAGCTCACCATCGACGGCTACACCCTTAGAAGCGTGGCGTGTGGTTGGTGGCATACCCTGCTGTTAGCTGAACCCCGGCTGCCTTGAGGGGTTTGGCTAAGTTCTGGTCTGGATTCTGGCTTTCAGGTGAAACCCCCAATTTTGTGTTAGAATTAGAAGGCAGTTCGTCACCTGCTATTGATCTATGTAACACCGCCGCCAAAGGTCTTCCCCGTTGCACATAGATGGTGATTGTTGCCATGTACATACCCCGGCGACCAGTGTTTGACGTTTATGTTTTTCGTGGTCAACAGTAATACACGTCAGGGATTTGACAATTTTAGTTCGTCCCATTTGACGTTATTTGGAGGTTGTACATAAGAGATCAGTTGAATTTAACCTGACGTGCATATCAGTTTGGTTTGATTGCATTATAGCTTCAGTGGCTGCTGACCCAATCACTTGTTTATTGTCTCTCCTGGTTCCTGCTCGTTCATGGACGCCTACCAGCCAAATTGACCATCGCGAAGGTGGAGTTTGAACGTTGAATTGCAACGACTCTCCATTATATACCGTAAATTCAAGGGCTTGATCCATTGACCAAGCACAAAGAGCCGCCATCAGTAGCCTTTGATATGGCCTTATGATTGGGCACAAAATGGCCTTATTCGGACAAGCTTGATCTCGTTTAAATATCAATTTGATTTTACAATATTCACAAAATCACAAAATATTTGGGACTATACGCATTATATTCAGTCTGGTTCGATTTCATTTTCGATTCAATTCGATACAGTTTGGTGGGAACAAACAGTTGCATATCTTTACTCATTGACACCATTCCATTTATGTTTTTCATATATGGTTGTTTAGTATGTGTGTATTTTATGCATTTATAGCATAAACCTAGGACCTACACAAAACGTTCTCGGAAATATTATGGTAAAAAAATACTAATTTGAGGAAGGATGACAAAAAAACCATACTCGTGAACATCCGTTTATATTTTACCTGATTGTGTAGGGTAAAATTTGGATTCGAATGAGTATTAATGGGTATGAGTCTGAATTCGAATATTGTGCATGAGGGGTTGCCCATGATTTTCACAATCCAATCTGAACTCGCCTGATATGTGTATTTTGTTTAAAAATTTGTAATGATTTTTCTCAACATATTTGATATTTTATCATATATATGTAATACTTTCAAGAAATTGTATAGGTTTTAACTATTTTTTTTCTTTCAATTAATTCACTGTTATACCTTTTTCGCTTATTTAATATTAGTATACGTGTAACTAATAATATGTTGGTTAAAGTTATAAAGAGAAATTATCGTTCATTCATATTATGGATGACTCGAAACTCTATCGGCCGGGTTTATACAATTTTGAATATAGTAATAAATATAGTATCGATCCAATACGTTATCCATTTTCACTTTTTGTTGAAGAAGTTAGATGGTATAGCATTAGCATCCCTGCTACCAAAGATCTAGCAGCCGACCATCTTACAATGATTAATATAGTCAACAACCAGCCACGTCCAACTCCCGTTAAGTGCGTTTTGGAATCTCTACTGATCTCTGACCTAATCACAGACTTAACAAAGGTTAAACTAGTCAAACCTCGAAATGGTCCCATAATTACTCTCCACAAACTATGTAAACAAATCTCCTTTCTCTTCAACTACAATCTTCCTCATTGATTGCAATTAACACCTTTCCCGCTCAGCCCATTCCCTCGCAAGCCAACTAGAAAACAAAAACCCTCCTCGCATTCCACATGCTAATCTTCCATCTACCTCTTCCTCCCCAATGAACCCGCCGCCGCCGCCGCTGCTGCCAAAACTCTTCCTCTTGCTCCTTCAAGCGGCGGCGCTTCTCTTGTCATGGACCGCGACAGCTCAACCGGCTGCCCGCTGCCCGGACTGCGGATCTATTCCCGTCCCTTATCCGCTCAGCACGAGCCCTAATTGCGGGGACCCTTTCTACACAATCCGGTGCGACGCCGGCGCGCTGGTGTTCGATTCCGTGAACTTCTCGTATCCAATCATCTCCGTCAGCCCTTCCAATCAACGATTCGTAATCCGGACGGCGGGATTAGCCCCCAATACCTGCGTCGCATCTGATTTAGTCAATCAGGGCCTCCAGCTCAACACCTCCCTCCCTTTCAACATCACCGGCAGCAACACAATTATGTACCTGAACTGCTCCGCGGCGGTGCTGACGTCTCCACTCAATTGCTCCAGGGCCGGCCTCTGCCACGTGTACGCCAACGGCACGGCGTCTTACTCGTCGTGCCGCGACGCTCCGGTGTGCTGCACTTTCACAGCGGGCGGGTCGACGACGGCTTACATGATCCGGGTTCGGGAGTCGGGTTGCAGGGCCTACGCCAGTTTCGTGAACTTGGATCCGGGTTTGCCCGTTGATCGGTGGCCCGACCCGGGTGTGGAGATCCAGTGGGCTCTTCCTAGGGAACCGCTGTGTGGGTCTCAGGTGGACTGCAATGCAGACTCGAATTGTGGGCCGGACCGAAATTCAAGTGGGCTCGCTAGATGCTTCTGCAAGAATGGCTTTCAGTGGGACCCAATACAAGGAATCTGTTCCACGAGTGAGTTGATTTTTTTTCCCCCACAGTTGAGTGAGTTGACATTGCAGAAGTCAAAGTTCAGGTTTAAGAAAACAAATTTTAATTTGCAGGAGCGACTTGTGAAGATGGCGGACATTGCGGTAGAACTAAAAGTAGAAAAGTCTCTCTAATCGCCGGTAATCTCGCCATTAATCACCTTCTTCAGTGATTGGATGACTAGTTTTGACTAATTATTAAAGTGTTGGACAAACAGGTGTGGTCGCCGGCACCGCCGCAGCCCTGGCGGCAATTGCCTTCGCTGTCACACTCCAGAAGCGTCAGAGGCGACTGAAACAAGCTCGAGAACGCCTCGCCAGAGAACGGGAGCTACAAATCCTGAACGCCGGCGGGAGCAGAACGGCAAAGATATTCAGCGGCAGGGAGATCAAGAAAGCCACCAACAATTTCTCCCGGGACCGTTTACTAGGCGTCGGCGGGTACGGCGAAGTGTACAAAGGCATTCTCAACGACGGCACCACCGTCGCCGTCAAATGCGCCAAGCTGGGGAACCCTAAAGGCACGGCCCAAATCCTAAACGAGGTCCGCATCCTCTGCCAAGTCAACCACAAGACCCTCGTGGGCCTATTGGGCTGCTGCGTCCAGCTCCCCCAGCCCGTCATGGTCTACGAGTACGTCCCAAACGGCACTCTCCTGGATCGGTTAACGGGCCCAAAAACCGGGAAAGTCAAACCGTTGACTTGGCTACACCGCCTCCGCATTGCTCGTGATACAGCCGAAGGGCTGGCATACTTGCATTCCTCGGTGGTTCCTCCGGTCTACCACCGGGACGTAAAGTCGAGCAACATTCTGCTCAACGAGAAGTTGAATGCTAGGGTTTCGGATTTCGGATTGTCTAGGTTGGTCGAGAGCGATCTCAGCCATATCTCGACGTGTGCACAGGGGACGTTGGGGTATTTGGACCCGGAGTACTATAGGAATTACCAGTTGACGGAGAAGAGCGATGTGTACAGCTTCGGGGTTGTGCTGCTGGAGATATTGACCGGGTTGAAGGCGATTGATTTCGGGAGAGGGGAGGATAATGTGAATTTGGTGGTTTATGTGCAGAGGATGGTGCGAGAAGGAAGGTTGGTTGAGGTTTTTGATCCTCTGATGATGGTGAGGAAGGGAACTAGTGAGGATGGTAATCATTTGGAGGTGGAAACGATGAAGTCCTTGGCTTTCTTGGGGTTGAGTTGTTTGGAGGAGAAGAGGCAGAATCGGCCATCGATGAAGGAAGTGACGGAGGAAATTGAGTACATTATTAGTGTTGCCATGGGTAGTTCTGATCCACAATTGTAGGTTGTGTTTTGTTATATTAAAGTCTTGTGAGTTCTCTATGTAAAGATTTTAAGAGGCGGGTATGGATTTGTCCAAGTTTCGATCCATTTCCATATGCTCAGTCTATTCAGGTAGGATGAACACTACCCGATATACAAACAATAAAAGTTAGTGTTTGGTAGATAAACTATGTTAGAATGAGGTTTAATGTTGTTACTGCTTAGCCAAACTTACTACCAAAGTGCTTGAAATGTAATTGATGGAGCAAATAGTCGAACTAGAATGAATTCTTTTAGTTTATCTCAGGCTTATCGGGTTATTCTTTGTTTAATCTGGATTGTCGGGGAAGAAGGGTTGAGAAAAGGGAAGAGGCTATGTAGGTCGAGTAAGGAGAGAGAAGATAATTGTTTTTTTTTTTAGTTTGTCTTTTTAATTTACTTTAATTATATTATTAGATTTTTATTAATTTTTATGTCCCACATGGCATCCATATCAGCATATCATGCTGATTCACTAACGATCAATGATGTTGATGGAGGCTTGAGCCTCTGGAATGCGAAGAACAACTATTGAAGGGGGAGGAAAATGATAGATTGCCAATAAATAAGTGTGTTGAATTTGATGATAGATTTGAAATTGAGAAATATGTGAAACCTAAAATGGTATGGTATTTGCTATGAGAAATGAGTTGGAACATCCATCTCTTTCACGTCATATTCTCTATTAGTTTTTTGATAATTTCCGATTTCAATCTAAGAAATTACCTAAATTTATTAATTAGTTAGATATAAACAAATATATGATGGTGCAACTATTCATTTACAACTCATGTTTTTTTGGTCGAATCATAACTCAGTCTAATGGTTGTTTAGAGAATTGGAGTATAAAATTTAAAATTTAAACAATCCAAAGATTATAACTTTGTGAATTATTGTAAAAAGATTGTAAATGTTCAGTGTTAGTTATTTGTGCTTGTTAACGTTCAATAAAAAGTAAAGATTCTAATTTGTTGTTATCAAAATGACTTGCTTACCCTTAATCAAAAGAATCAAAATAGCTCTAGAAATATTAAGTATTTATGACTAGAGTATTTGGTGAGATAAATAAAAAAGAAAAGGAAGTTAGGAGGGAAAATACCACAAATTAATATATGAATTCTCTCTAATTATGAGAGATTTGATATCTCTAAGTTAAATTTTTTGAAATATCTAAAATTAAAATTCACCATATACAACACAATGAAAGAATATAACTTTTTATTAAATCTACAAATTTAATAAATCTACAAATCTACCCATATCATATTCTCCAAGCCATCCTTAAATTAAATACGTAAAAGAGGAAAGTAATCCACAATAACTTGATGAAAAGGAAAATTAGTAATTAAAAACTTGAAATACAGTAAAATATTAATTAGAAACAAGGAATTGAAATCCGGCGAGGGTGTTTGCCTTTTCCCAGTCGTCGGTAAAACATTTTGGCATATTCCGAAATCTCAATTTCCTCACACACGTATAAATAACCACCGCCATCAAAATACTTTTCTCTCGTCCACTCAACTCTCCTCCTTCCTCTACCTCTCACCTTCCCCCTTCTCCTCCTTCCTCACAGATCGCTAATTACATAAATTAACACCGCGCCGGCTCCATTTTCCCCCCTCCGCCGGCTCTGCCTCTCCTCCGCTTCCCGCGTTCCGGCTGGGATCCTTCTCACCTCCCGGAACTCGATCCCCAATCCCCTCATCCCCTCTCCCCTGTTTCCGATCTCGTCGAATAAGGTGATTTCAATTACAAATCTATTGCTCTGTTTCCCCCCAATTTCCCTGGACTTTCAATCTTCCCGCACTTTCGTTATGATCTCTCCTAGAACATCTACAATGTGGATAATGTTTTAGGGCCTTTCTGTTGCTATTGAGGCTCAGCTCCGTCGAGTGTCCTTTCTTTCATATAGTTTGCCTATGGTTTCCCCTGAATTTTGTTTGAAAATTTTGTAAATTTTCGTGTTGGGTGCTCTTTGGATCTGGCAGGGGTCGAGCTTCCTGCTGCTTTCGGTTTTTCTTTTATGTGGGTTCTTTGTTTGTCCATTTCTGCCCCCGTAATTCCGGTGGTTTGACCCCGTCCAGACTGCCCTTTGACATTTTTGACTTGGGAAATTTTGGCTGGTTATTCAGGGGATTTTAGCAGCTATTGTTCTTCCTCCTGCATTTCCAGCAGCAGAAATTCAGGGGTTATAAAGGAAAGATATCCTCTTTCCCTTTTCGGGTCAGGATAAAATTTTGGAAATTTGTCGGTGCGAGTGAGAAAGAAAGGCAATCCTGGTAGATTCCGATTTCCGAGCATTTCGTCACAGTTAATCTTTTACCAGTGGGAAGCCTGGATCTGGGTGCTTAGAATTTTTCTCAGGGTTTTTTCTGTGGCTGCAATTTTTATTTGCTTACAAGATTAGCTACTAGGTGCATCTGGTCTTTCTCTATGGTTTCTGTAGCTTGGATTCGTGTGTAGATTTTTGAAATTTGCTGCTTACTCTGTCTGATTGTTATGGTTACAGGAAAAAGCAGAGGGGATTCTATAAAGATGAAGGCTTTAATCCTTGTTGGGGGGTTCGGAACAAGATTGAGGCCATTGACCCTCAGTGTTCCAAAGCCTCTTGTTGACTTTGCAAACAAACCCATGATTCTGCACCAGGTATCAAACAAACCTTGGTTCCTTCACGTTTTTCACTTTGCCACACTTCTCCTTGTTAATTATTCTCTTTTGCATGGCTGCAGATCGAGGCTCTCAAGGCAATTGGAGTAACTGAGGTGGTTTTGGCCATCAATTACCAGCCAGAGGTGATGCTGAACTTCTTGAAGGATTTTGAGGCAAAGCTTGGTATCAAGATTACCTGCTCGCAGGAGACGGAGCCACTTGGCACTGCTGGCCCTCTGGCTCTTGCTAGGGACAAGCTGATGGATAAATCCGGCGAACCATTTTTTGTCCTCAACAGTGATGTTATCAGCGAGTATCCTCTCAAGGAAATGATAGCATTCCACAAATCCCATGGAGGAGAGGCTTCTATTATGGTCACCAAGGTAATCAATCATTTTCACTCTACTTGATTCCATTTCTCTCAGGGCTGCATTCTGAAACCACAGTATAGTAGTTGACAGTAACATTCTTTGTGTTTTATCATCGCAGGTCGATGAGCCATCAAAATATGGGGTGGTGGTTATGAATGAAGCCACAGGGCATGTCGACAAATTTGTGGAAAAGCCAAAGATATTCGTTGGCAACAAAATCAATGCCGGAATCTACCTCTTGAACCCATCTGTTCTGGACCGAATCCAGCTGAGGCCCACCTCGATCGAGAAGGAAGTCTTCCCGAAGATAGCTGCAGACAAGAAGCTCTTTGCCATGGTTCTGCCAGGGTTCTGGATGGACATCGGGCAGCCGAGAGACTACATCACAGGGTTGAGACTCTACCTAGAATCTCTGAGGAAGAAATCTTCAGTCAAGTTGGCCACTGGTTCACACATAGTCGGTAATGTACTGGTGGACGAGACAGCAAAGATTGGTGAAGGGTGTTTGATTGGTCCAGATGTCGCGATAGGACCAGGGTGTGTGGTTGAAGCTGGGGTTAGATTGTCTCGTTGCACGGTGATGCGTGGGGTTCGCATAAAGAAGCATGCGTGCATTTCAAGCAGTATCATTGGCTGGCACTCGACAGTCGGGCAGTGGGCTCGTGTCGAGAACATGACCATCTTAGGGGAGGATGTGCATGTGTGCGACGAGATTTACAGCAATGGAGGTGTTGTTCTACCGCACAAGGAGATCAAGTCGAGTATTTTGAAACCGGAGATTGTGATGTGACAAACAAAAAATATGAGGCAGGTAGTAGTGAAGAGTGAAATTCATGGTTTTTGGGGGGAGGTGTAGAATTAATGTATGTTCTCTAGAGTTGGTCTGAGATGGAAGGGGAGATTTTCCAGTCCAGCTGGAAAGAAATGTACCTTGTTTCTCCATCTTTTTTCTTTTTGTTCAATTGGGTTTCAATATCTATTGCCCTTTGTCCCATACAGAAGTGTAAAAGTCAGTTTGTGGGAGTTGGAAGTTTGTTGTGAGTTGTCATCTTGGCTTTTTGCCAAATAGAAATGTGATGCAAATCATGTGTGAGCAAATTTGTATTTGTGGGATGGAATGTGTAGAGAAATAAATTCCAGATCTTCAGTTTGGTGCCAAAGATTTATGTCTCTTTCCTTGCTCTTGTCCTTGTACAAGGTTCAATTCTGTTACTGTGTTTACTGCTTGCATACATCCAATTGTTACAGATTGTGGAACGCTCATTTCAACGGCATAAGCACCATAGCCAGATCAGTCAAGGTTTATGTAGGCCACGTCCACGATAATCAAATCATGGTCCTAACTAAGGAGTAGAATATGTAACTGTATTCCTGTTCCTTAACTTCTGCAGAACCCTGTATATTTAAAACTAGAATTTAACTGTCGGTGGCTTTCAATTATTTGGACTTTGTGTGTTGGCAGTGGCCCCCTGTTAACTTTTCTTTTGCTCTGTCTCTCTCGCTAACAGGTCATATAGCTTCCATGTCCCTTTCTTTCCCCTCAAGATTATGGAGAGAATAATAACAACACACTGACGTTGCCATGGATTCCTTCATGTGAGTACCATGCTTGCTCTTTTCACATATTTGAAGTAACTTACCCTAAATGTGTGGGCAGTTGGTCACTTCCAAGGGATTCCAGGCTGTCAAATCCACCAAGATTTACCGAGGATCCAGAGTGGACTCACATGTAGGTCAAAAGGTGACAGTTTTCTCTGTCATACTGCTGGTTTTATACTCAGAAAAAATGGGATCTTGATTATATCAATGATGGGTTATCTTCTTTCTCATCATCTAATTGGATTCTTCAGTTTTACTAATGATTATCAGAAGGTATGATTATTCTTAAAATGTTGAAGCACCTTCGATCACCTGGTAGCAAAAGACTATAATACTACAACCTGAAGTTTAAGATAACAGTTTCCTGGCGAAGAGTAGTGAGTTTACTGAGAGCTGTGAATGAGAGACAGAAGAGGACATATTGGAATCTGCTGGGAGCTTCTCCTCTATGAGAAGGAATCTGGATAAGAGCATACCTTTGTCTTTTACTAGGGGGTAAAGGGTTAGGAGGTTTCAGTAGGGACTCCCAGTCCCAGCAGAGTTTGATTGAGTGGTAGGGTATGATGCAACAACATTTTGTGCTGTTTCTTACGCTATGTTTGGCAACGAGGGGGGAGCAAATTTAAAGGAGGGTGCAAATTGAGGGGTAAGTTGAAGGGGGTGCAAATTTAAGGAGGGTGCAAATTGAGGCGTAAATGGTTGTTTGGGAGAAAAAGTAGGAGGGTGCAAATTGTAGTAGAAAAATATATAAATTATTAAATTATATTAAAAATTCATTTAATTATTTTTTAAACCTTTTTCTTTTATTTTTTTACTTTCCTTCTCTTGCACGATAGCAACTTCCCTCTCTCACCGTCATTCACTTTCCTTTCTCTCTCTATGCTTTTTTCTCCGCTCTTTCTCCCTTTCCTTCTTTGTTCTTGTTCCTTCCTTTCTCAAAGCAGAGAAGGCCCAAGGCCCCTCATCTCTTCCCAGGATTTTCATACGAGAAATTATCGTCGTTGTCCTGAAAGTATAGCTCGGTGGCTGGGCAAGTAGGAGATGCAAAATCGCCGCCACAGTCCGTTCTTCTCGCGTCGGGTTCGGTGGCTGGGCAGAGGGTGGTGGCGGGAGGAAAAACAGGGGAAGGAGATTGGAATAGTGATGATCGATCTCGAGCGTATCCGTCGATCTCCCCACAACGTCGCCGTCGTTTCTCAGGGCAGGAGATCACAATTAGACAGAGACGGCGACTACTTGCTGGAGGAAGAAGGGTTGTTGCATGTCTTCTTCTTTTGATTTTTTTCTGAAATCGTGGGGAAGATTGATGTTTTAAGTTTTCAGATCTAATGGATCCGGTGGTTTGGATTCTTATCGGAGATGAAAATCAAAACCGGTGACTGGGTACTCTTGTTAGAGGTGGCAATCACGACGGCGGATTGAGTTTCTTGCCGGAGGTTTAAATCGGAGGGTCTTTCCGTTGGCTTGAGAAAAAAATCAGTCTTACCATTGTCTTAACAAAAAAAAAAAATCAGGAACAAAAAGCTTTCAAGCTTTCTCTCTCCGCTTCCGCCCCAATTTGGGGGGTTGAGCGAAACAGTGATTTTGCACCAGAAATTTCTGCCCCCCTACTGTTCCAAACTTTTCCAAACGCGTGCAAAATCATCGGGAAGGGGATTTACCCCCTAGTTGTTGCACCCCCCTCTACTTCCCCCTCTTCCCAAACAAAGCGTTAGTGGTGCTTATTTGGATTCATTTAATTTGCAATTCTGTAGTGGCCCTTTCTTCTCTCACAGAGTGTGTTGTAGTTTACCAGAAAAGCAAGTGGGAAATGATTTTCTAAGTTATTACCTGTCATTCTCATAGCACCCACATGTCTCCCCTCATTTTGATTTATTAAGGGGCAAAGCGGGTCTCCCATCTGCAGTCACCCCACATTTACCGGCATCCCTTATTATCTCTTTAAAAGAACAAGTTACAAGTTTACTGTTTCATAGAGTCACGTCTTAACACTGTTTTTCTTTGACACATTTTTACTGCGTTCTCGTCTGTAATCATTGCTTTCTCTCTCTTTCCTCTCTGCTTTTAGCCTGGGTTGCTTCGCCAGCGACTTCTCTTCTCTCTGCAACTTATCGGTTTTCGGAACTCCTCACCTTTCCCCTGAGAAATGACAGGTCTGGCGCTTCCTCATCTGTTCCTTTCCCCACAAAAGTCTTCTTTTGCTTTGCTACCTTTCATTTATGCTCCTCACAGACTTTCCCTCTTCTATCTTGCTTGCTCGCTTGCTTTCTTCTATTGCTCTTCCATGGTGACCCATAAATTGCTTCTTGACCTCAGCGACTCCGATGGCCTTCAGACTCTTCTGAAGCTGCGCCTCCTTCATGCGTGGGGGTCTTATGGGCTGAAGAATCCTACATTAATCTTCAACTACTGCACTCTGTGGAATGATGAGGAGGTCAGCGCTGTTTTCTTCTTTATTTTGCCATGCAATCTTGCGCCTCCCTTCTTTTTACAGCCCTCTGATGTTCGTTTCTTTTCTGGCCAGGGTACTTTGATTCAGGGCACGGCTCCTTCGGAACTCACGCGCCATTTCTCTCCGCTTCTGCAGTTGGGTAGCGTTTATTTCGTGAGCAACTTCCGCGTCAAGCCACCGGCCCCTTCGTATCGTTCTTGCTCTCATAAGTTGACCATCGTCCTCTCTGCTGCTACACAGTTCGAAGACGTGACCCGTTCGTCACCTTCATTCTGGCCAGATGCGTTCGAATTTACCCCGTTCAGCTCGCTTCATTCCCGCATACGTTCATCGGTCTATCTGACAGGTCTTGTCCTGTATTCTTTACGTCTCTTGCTGTCCGTTCTGCACTGTACTGCTTACCACCCTTTCCTCTCTTCTCTTGCTTGTGCCTCTGTCAGATGTCGTTGGCGCTGTTGTTAGCATCACAGGCGTTTCTAGCACTGTTACTTCATTCGGTACCACTGTGCGGAGTGATTTGGTGCTTCAGAATGAAAAGTATGTTACACATGCACACCACTGCTTTATCGACTGTGCTACATTTGTTACTTACTTTCGCTGTTTTTTTGCCCAGTCACATGTTTCTTGATATCAGTCTGTGGAGTGATATAGCTCGGAATCTCAATGGTCAGGAACTGGCTGTCCTTGGTCGTTCTGGGCCAGTCATGCTTGCTGTTTGCTCACTGCGAGTCACTGGCGCTACGAAAGGTCTGCATGTACCTTACCGCTGCACTATTCTCCGTTTCATTTCCCTTCCTCCTTTCCTTATTACCTTCACCCCTTTTGTAGGAGGTTACTCTCTGACCAGTACTCCAGGCACACGTTGTGTTCTCAACCCTGTTTCTGAAATGGCTCACCTGGTCCAATCTGTGTATGTCTTTTCTTATCCTCCTCATATTTGTTTTTCCCTTCGCATCATCAGCTGTCTTTTTTGTTACTGCTAATTTGTTGCGTTCCTTGCTTTCGCTTCCGTTAGGTTCTTTGCCAGCACTAATACATGTCAATATTACCCTCCGAGGTTTGCAACTCCTACTGAGGCAGCGGCCTTCGAAGCTGAATGTACGAAGACTGTGTCGCAACTGCTTGCTTTGTGTTTTCCACCTGTTGCCGATGTATGTTTTTTCCCCTTTTGCTCTCCAACTTACCTGCTTTTGTTCCTTTCACTTCATTTGTTTGTCCGTCTAATCATTTCTTCCGTTTACTTTTTTTTTAGTCTACGCGTTACCATTGCTCTGGTCGGATCGTTTCGGTTGATTCTTCTATGCAGTGGTACTACTTGGGTTGTGCGCTTTGTTCCAAAGCAGCCATAGATTATGATGGTGTTGACAAATGGTGTGATGACCACCGTCGTTTGGTGCCTCAACAAACACAGAACTTGTAATTCCTTTCTTCATTCTTGCCCCTATACCTTTTGCCTATTTCTCGTGTCCTCATACGCTCCTGTACACGTTTTTTGCAGTTACAAACTTCGGGTAACAGTTGATGACAACACTGGATCAGCAGCTTTTGTTCTGCTGGGTAGGGCCGCTGACCTTCTTGTGGGCTTGACTGCTAACGATCTCTCTACTAGGTTTCCTTACCAGCGCAATGTTCTTCCACAAGAACTTCTGGCTCTTGAAGGACGAGACTTTACTTTTGACGTCCAGCTTCCAAAACCGGAATATGGGGCTCGTGGCCCGCCAGAGTTCACGGTCCTTGCTGTCAATGAGCAAGAACAGCCAAATTCCTGCTCACCAACTCTTAGTCGCCGGTCAAGAAATGCTATGCCCCATACACCACCTCCTAACAGGTTTTTTCCGTGTTCTCCAGTTTGTGGAACAGTCCCCTTTTGTTCATTACTAATCGCTACTTTCCGTTGCAGTCCTCACTTGATGCCTCTTACGTCTCCATATGTTGTTCCAACAATTCAGACCGCTTCGGTAGACCATGGTTCTTCTATTGCTTCACCAAGGTAATGCTTCAATTTTACATGTCCTCTTTTCGCTGGTTGTTGATTGTCTTGAACTCGGGTTCCTTCTTAAATTTGCAGTGGGAGTTCTCAGCTTGCATTTTCTACTCCTCCACGTCGCCCCTACAACAGGTCTTTTGTACA